ACCTGCCTGATAAGATATGTAGTCACACTATCCTATCATACGATGCACATGTTTGCTCAGAAACTGTTATCCACCTCATTGTGGTAAATTATAAAACAATGCATCTACATGTGTTCTCATTATTTATTCCAAAAATCATCGTCCTCAAGTTCGGTACAGTTTAATTAAATTTAATATAAAAAAGACGTATTTAAATGTCCATTCCATGCTGTGAACTGTAGACGGTCACGAGAAACTTAACATTCGTGATATATATATGTGTGTGTGTGCTTATATCCTATAGCAGTAATCAATATCTGACTACATCAGTGATCAAGTCATTGGCCGAATAAAACACCAATTTTACGATGAAAGTCAGGGGTTTGATACATGATATCAATACCGTGTAACAACTAATTTTTTTAATAATTCTTCTAAATGTAAGCCAACAAAAAGATGAACAATTTCAATTGAGATCTTGGAAATGTATATTTTATCTGACGTACTTCTTCAAAATGTTAATTTTCAACAACAAGATTCTCGATCTTTAAAAACAACATGTTTACTGGTGTTAAAATTATCTTGGCGATATCACTATTCTGTAGCACTCATACGGTATTATTAATGGAAAGAAAATTACTGCCGAACTCATAAAACTCCAAACGTCAGATTTGACGATACGACTCAGGTTTCCCCACTGGTGCCCCACTGCGAGCTTACAGCTAAGATACCTGTATGACATTCAGTTCTGACACTGTTCATCCCCTCAGGTGTATACTAACCTTGAATGACCACTCCACGCGTACCTCACCTCTATCAATATGATAACCGACTTGTATCACAGCCAACTGACCAATTTGCATACAACATATTCAAACTTTAAACAATAGTTTAGGAATTCATCAGTAGATGAAATAGACCGGTCATTTTAGCTTCCTATTCAAGTGTAAAATTCATTAAAAGTGAACACGTGAAACCGACATGTCGGCTTGTCAATGTAAAACATAAGTTTTCTTAGACAATTTGGAAGTCTATAAATAGCAAAAGACAAGACCCTTGTCAAGGTTGTATAAGCACGGTAGTTTACCTGACTGATGAGTGTACCAGCTGAAGTGTGATCATTTCGGAAGCCGGAAAGATTTTGTTTGGCAACTCGAGAAAAATGAAAACATAAAACAAAAAACATGATTAATTTTCATTATTTGACTCGATTAAGCTTTTCACCACAGAACTTTATAAATATCTAAGTCATTTATATGGTTTCCCTTGCATTAAGGAACACACACTTCAGCCTTTCAAATTACATTTATACAATAACTTGTGAAAACAAGCAACTGATTGCAGTGAAACATTTAGCTTTGATATAAAGTTCATAAATTACAGAAATTTTAGGCTGCATATATTCAATGGCTTAGACCCATTTTTCTTTTAAGTCCGTGATATACCAGCTGTTAATTATCAACCGTTTCATTGAAAACTTATAATCATAACAAGCTTAGTACCTATGGTCTTGTAATACAATATTTGTAAAACATGTTGGCAGCATGATACCAATATCATACGCTTTATTCCGTAACAGCTCAATTTTTGCTTTTATTACAGAGATTTTTGACTAGATTAAAGAAATCGAAGATAAAAATTTAAATTTTGCATAGTACACGTGAGTGTAAAAGTGTTGTAACGGTTTAGTTTCTGGTTGTACTTCAAATATTTCTATTTTTACATTGGCACTCAACTCCTTAACGTAGTTCATATAAGTTGAGCATTTATTTCCATTTCTCCTACTAGAAACCGTTGCAAGGCTGGGGTCGGCTAATTCAATCAACATTCCGTATCCGTCATAGAAAAGGAATCACTGTAGTTGATCATTTCTTCTCGACAATCTATAAAAGAATGAACAAAGCGTGACAAAGGTAAGAAAACAACACGAAATCCCAGCAATAGGATAACAGATAGACAAAAGCATTAGACTTGCATATCACACAATAGACATTACAGGTATTAGTTTAACGTTAAATATAGATGAAAAGAGTTCTTAGCTGTTAAAAAGTAAGCACATGTTACGCTAGTAATATTGCCTTTTGATTATTAAGTTGCTCGCGTTCAAGAGTCATAAAATGTAAACTGCATGTATCGCCTTCTTTACCCCAAAAATTCGTCTTTGCTGTGGTATCAGGTTGGTTGAATCCAATTGGTTTGTACTAAAAAAAGGTAAGGGAAATATGAATGAGTGTATGTAATTGTCCGACATATAAATACATAAATTCATCGCCTACCCATAAAGCTCTCTCTTCCTAGTACCACACTTTACATTGGTATCTCGCTGTAATGGATGCAGCTGCTACATCTATCATACTAGAATTACAGAGCGAGGTGATATCTTTCATCTATTTTAAAAACACATATGTATTTTTATGAGGTACATTGTACTTACAAAATAACAACAAAGAATGTTTCGATATATCAACAGAATCTGATTTCCTTTTTACAACTCAAATTCGATGACGGGGTGTGGTAAGGGGTTAAACATTAATGGATTTCGTCTCTATTTTAGGAAATGTTTAAGACTTTATACCCAAACCATTTTCTATACACTGACATGCATAAATAATTGTCTATTGTGTACTTTATCTAAGAAACATTGCATGTGAATCGTGTTCAGATCTATCGTTTTCATCTTCATATTGGTAGATAATGATAATTAATGCTAGGTTCCGCACAAAAAGGTCAGCAGTACTAGTTCACATTATCTGTAGTAATTGATGACCTATATAAAACATCATTCTAGTTTGATACGCGTATCAAATAGATATATTCTGATCTTGACATATATATTAACGTGCACTTCTAGTGTAAACTGTTTATAAATCAGTTCATATGTAAAATATAGCCCGAGGTGTAACGCCAGATAGTCTGATATTTTGGTACTCAAGTGGATCAACTGTTATCAAAATAAGCAACGTGTTTCCAGTTCATCATTTAAAATCTTTACAAATCACGTGTAATGGCTTGTATATGAGTGCGCGTGTCCCACGAGTTAATCTTACGTTTTAAAAAAACAATGCATACATACATCACCTTTAATTCAATAACTTGTAGAATATGACACGTGATTCAGAATGACATCGCAGTAATAACTTATCAAAATAAACATTAGATAGATATCTTACTGTAAATACACGGTTGTTTGTTATTATATTTTTCACAAACAAAAAAAAAAAAATCCTAGCTTTGTAGGGATATGGTATTGTAGTTGTGACTGCGTTTTCATTGTAAAATGACCACATAGTTTAAAATGAATTAAAACAACTTGATGTTAATCTTCATCGGATGTCTCAATCATCACATTTTGCTACTTTCATTACAATCGATTTATTGTAGTTATTTCAGATTTTTTCGTATTGTATCAGACATAGGAATGTGACGTCGTGAACTACAAACTATAACATCTTTGACACTTGGTCCTGAAGGTGGACGGATGGGAATGTGATGTCGTGAACTACAAACTATAACATCTTTGACACTTGGTCCTGAAGGTGGACGGATGGGAATGTGATGTCGTGAACTTCAAACTATAACATCTTTGACACTTGGTCCTGAAGGTGGACGGATGGGAATGTGATGTCGTGAACTTCAAACTATAACATCTTTGACACTTGGTCCTGAAGGTGGACGGATGGGAATGTGATGTCGTGAACTTCAAACTATAACATCTTTGACACTTGGTCCTGAAGGTGGACGGATGGGAATGTGATGTCGTGAACTACAAACTATAACATCTTTGACACTTGGTCCTGAAGGTGGACGGATGGGAATGTGATGTCGTGAACTACAAACTATAACATCTTTGACAATTGGTCCTGAAGGTGGACGGATGGGAATGTGATGTCGTGAACTACAAACACTAACATCTTTGACACTTGGTTCTGAAAGTGGACGGATGGGAGTGTGATGTAGGAAACTACCACAGATATTATCATAATCATATGCAACAGTTATTAAGTCACGTATACATCCTACTTGTCAATGAAATCTAACTGAATTGGCCAAAACAAGAATTCTTAGATGGATTTTCTCTTTTCGCCTTTTTTCTCGAAGATTTCTTTTTCATCCGTATCTTTTTCTTATTTATTTTTATCTTATTTTTCTTTTTTCTTCTTCATTCCATCTTACAACTAACAGTGTGGTCAAAGCTATCATGAATTTAGTTTAATGTATTGACCGATTGAAAGCGATAGACGTTACATTGAAGATTTTGAGCACGGGCGTCTTTTTCATCAAATATATTTTATTGTCAACTGAAGGCAACGAATCAGGCACAAGTTATGACAACTTATCATCGCCTCCTCCTAACATATAAACACTCCATATGTATTACAATAATGAATGGCTAAATATTTAATGTGCAATTAATAAAAAAGATATCGACAGCGTAAATCTATCGGGATATGGAACAGTTAACAAATAGTGTATGCTAAGTAACAGGAATTTCAGTATCATAATAACGAGAATCGCGGTTAATGGGTAAATAGAAATCTGAGAAATTAAATTAAAAATTTTGATCTGCTCTAGAGACTTCTATGAATTGTAAAAATGTCATTTAGGGATTGTTCGATTCCCAGTGTGGTGTTGCAACACCTTTACTTGGACAATTATCATGTCCTGCATTGTGGTATTAAGTCCCTATTTCACAACTATCGGAACATTTTGTAATATATTGCTGAATGAAATTATTTTGTAATACAGTAGAGATGGAATAAGAAATGGTGTTTCACAGAGGTCATATAGATGTATAATTTCTGCATTTAACTATCTATCATTAATTTTCAAAATTTGTATCGAAATACAACTGCTGTATTTTTGGCTTTCCAAACTGAACACTATCTTTTCACCACACCAAAGAATAGCACAGGTTATCGGCCCTGATATACTTGCATGGACATTTGGCATATTGCGAAATCGACACCCTCTCTGTGGCCTCTTTGACGTCATATCGTTATTACGCATGCGTAGAGTCCTAATTACTTTGGCTGCCCGAAGATCCGCTGCTAGATCGTGAGAAGCTCAGGTTGTCAAAATGAAGAGTTTAGTTGCTGTTGCGTTTGCGATTATCACACTGTACTTTATATTCGACAGTGGTAAGTATACTTTCGTGTTGGGAAAGGTGAATTATTTCTTTTCTGATAATATTTCAATGACATTTCACCGGCGCCATGTTGCATGTGTTCACTAGTAAGCACACCGTATCATACACACTTACTTACTTTTCATGTTTTTGACAAAATATGTGTGCATTTTTGCCATTTTAATTCAAATTTATTATTTTCGATAAATTGATTTAGATAAATGAGCAGATGATGGTAATATTGATCGTATGAACATAGCCCAAACGTGAAAAGTTAAGCGTCGGAACATAATATCCTTTTGACCTTGATGACGCTACCTGGGCTGTGAGGCCGCTTAGGCACATTGATCAGTCGATATAGATGGTTTACCTGTGTCGAAAAACATCCGATTTAAGACTCGGTACTAATAACTTGTAAATCAGAACTGCTCGTACAATTTTGTTATACATAACGGCTAATGAGATATAACACACTAGTTTTTATATCGGTTGCTTCCTTGCTCAATCTACATACGCGAAGAACACTGGTAATTTACATTATATGTGATCAAATAATACTGCTAGGTTTTTCGGTTACTGATTTCTCAAAAAATACATTAACCAGGGCATGTAAGTTAGCTTAATTTCAATTTTGCAGTAACTATGTAAATTGGTTGGTGTAGTATATGTTGTGTCACCTAATTTTTCACATGAAAGAAAGTAAGACAATGCTTATTGTTATGTAATATGATGTAAATAGTCTCTTAGTCAGCTATACAAACAGCACTACAGGGAACTCCCTGGAGTAGTGTCTTTATTGTCCTCTAAATCAGTTATACTTACCTGTACCAAGCTTAGTTTTATAATATTACAATGCCTTCATGCAGATGCCCTAGGGCAATGTCTGTCATTGGCGTCTTTCCCATAAATTAAATCCAAGACCACAGAGTGACACTTGAGGCATGCCAAAGTAGAAAACATGAGAAAGAAAGCATAGAGTGCATCTCTAGTGAATTAGATTTGTAAGCAGTTTGCCTTTTTATCACAGAGGGAGAGAAATTACTCATAGGTTTTAAAATATAGATATCTTTTCATAAAAATGAATAAACGAAAGTGAATTGTCCAATACCTTTAATGTCTTACTTAAAACTTGATACAATATCTATAGGAAAATATTCTTAATTCCTAACCCAAGATCTACTACATCATGCATCAGTAGGTGCTGACAATAGTGTCATAGTTATATCTCATACTTTCAAATAAATAGGTTAGTCCTTGCAGTTGATTTATAATAAAACTAGTGAACGCAAATTGGCAAATTTGTGTTTACATTTTTACCTTGTTCTGGACTGTACTGCATATAATTACTGCTGGAATTTTTTTTTTTTACAATGCATTAAGTAATTTTATGCTATGATTTAAGGATACAATAACATTGATTTAGTATGATAAAATATTTCATCACTATTGAGTCGAAAACATTTACTAGAAATTAAACCACAAAGCATATATTACTGCACTAACAAATCTCCAAAAGGATGAAAACCTCTCAGTGATTCAGTAAGATATTCTTAAAATATTTTCTTGAAGCAGTTTTATTAGGAAAGTTTTCACTTTATGGAGTCTCTCCATTCAACTAACTTATCCAGACTACAGACTGAGATTCAAATTGTGCAGCTGATTTTGACAAGTTAGTTCTGAAATCTTATTAAATGACATTCTAGAGCATATTAACCTTAGAAGGAATTTGTTTAAAATCTATACACAGATACAGGGGATCTAAATCAAAGTCTTGCTGTAAATTTAATATATTTGTTTGGAATTTTCTCACCGAATGAAAATACAGGAGCTTGTTGTAAGGAATGTGTACTGATGATGACATATTTGTAATGTATTAACAAATAGTTAATGTGAATGCTTTTTTTCTTGATTTGCAACACATGTATGGCAAACAGTTATGTAATTATGCACCCTCTTGTTGTTATCTGAAATATTAATGCTGTTGCCTACAATGAATATCTTCCACTAAATTAATATAATGATAACAACCAACAAATTTGCTAAGGTTCTTTTAGAATTAACATGGCCTAGCAAAAGCTTTCAAAAGTACTCGTAGGTCTTATTAATGGGCCCAGTCAAAAATACTCATCTAAACAAGGAATTCACTTGTCGGGACATTTTGTTTTGATAATGTTGACCATTTACCATTTGGTTTTAATGTCTCCAATTTGATGGACGTCGGAAATATAAATGCAACATATACTATAAGTAAATTAGTCAAAGGGTCTCTTGTCTGCAGCCAATTTTCTGTAAATATTAATCATTATCTTTGAAAACATGCATTTTCGATGTGAAGGTCATTATTGATATACTGATCCAAAGTAGAAACCATTCTTTCAAAGCTGACAAAAGTCACTATTGTGATTCTAAACCAATGTTACATAATAACTGTATGTTTTGCTTTGTTTTCAGGTAGTGCAATCAAATGCTACGAATGCAACTCCTTCTTCCAGTCTGATTGTGCAGATTGGTTTGACAACAAAACTCACAACTTAGTTGATTGTGGAGATGATGTGAAAATGTGCCGAAAGATAGTACAAGAAGGTATGTACAATACACATGTAATGAATAAGTTCAAGGAGGGAGATTTATACAACATTCTACCATGTAAAATTGTTCTATTTCAATATATATATATATTAGAAACTTTCATAAATTTTTTTTGAGTAACAGGTTTTAAATTATCTTTCATTTCAAAGAATTTAGTTTAATTGGTAGTGGTATATATATTTTTGTCACAAATGTTACTAATATAAATGTATCAAAATATCAAAGTATACTTTTATACATAATACAGTATAATAAATATTTTCTGGATTATAAGCGGCACCTTTTTTCTCACGAGTCAGCATGCAGCATATATACCAGTGCGGCTTATATGTGGACGATTGAAAAATGATAGAAAAAACAATAATGAGTACCCATATGTCACATGACTGAAACAGATCGTCTTGAACCGTCATTTGCAAATTGAAATAGAAATAACATTCTCGTTGAATTAATTGATCATACCTCTTATAATAATCACTTTAATTTCTTCTTGACTTTCACGGTTATTTCGAAGCCATAGCTGAAGTTTGATCAGCTTGCAATGTCCTTCGTTAATATTTATCCGTACAGATACCGTTGGAGAAATTGTTAAGTAATTGTAAGGTCAGATCCTATATCTGTACATAGACATCAGTGAAGGCTCCCAAGTCAAACAAGTTCAATGTTTGCTATTTTATGTTCTTGAAATACATCAGTAAAATAAAGGATTGTCTGTTTTTTAATTCATTTGCTAATGTCATTTAATATTTCACTAACGATCTCTATAAATTGTCCTCTGTTGTCTGCTATATCAACGAACTTAGGTCTACATATTGGTTACTTTTTCGTAAGAACTGCCTTTTGTTATCTGTTACCAGTATATCAAACATCAATAATTAATAGTGGTCATCATATCGTAAGAAAAGGTGCCCCTTATATGTGGATGAAAAAGAAAAAATGGCTGAAAATGGGTGCTGCTGCTTACATACCAGTGCAGCTTATAACCTGGAAAATACAGTAGTTACTTGAACATTTTGTACATGAAGGACCATCATTGTGTACATGGATTAGACATTGATGCATCTTTTCAATTTGTGTTGGATATCTGTATCTAATTATTTGCAATTCATTTACAGTTTACTACAACGATGACTGGAATGTCAGATACATCAGGCAATGTGCTCGATCCGGAGAGGTCGGAGGTGATGAAGGCCGTCAATGCAAGGACAGGACAGGCACATACCGTGTTAAAGTCCGATACTGTCACTGTAACAACCAAGAGGGATGTAACGGTGCCAGCAACATCAAAGTTCCTACCCTCCTTCTTGCCGTGCCACTTCTCACATCATTAGGACTCTACGTTTCAAAATATTTATGAAATTAACAATAAATTAGAACTTTTTTTTTTTAAACAAATTATCTCAGGGTTTTCACTTCGAAATTCAAAAGACCAGAGATTTGACTGACAGCTGTAATTGAGTTGCTTTCATGTGAAATTCATTTATTAAGCTGTCAGTTAATGCAGAAAGTGAAAACAGGAGACCAACCACAAACCACATTTGCATTTTGGAATTCACATTGATTAGGACCATACAAAAACCAAATATCGTTCTCTGGCATTTCATCTCTGAGCAAAAATGTAATCATGAAGACAAGAAATCATTTTTTGAAAACCCTGGCCAGTTTCGTGGGGTGATGATATTTTAATCTTACGAATACAAAAAGATTCTCGTTAGTACTTTCCCTTTGTGTATTCAATTCACTCAGTTTGCTTTAGAATACTTCATATTTGAGCGCTTGCTCATTTAAAGGCTTTAGTTGACAACTCGAAGCAATAACGTCTTTAAGGAATAAGGAATCTGAAATGTAAATAAATCTACTTTTTATCTGCAGCTTTTTGTAATAGTTGGAAAGAACAAATTTCTGTTTTGTTCTGCCCAATTAATTTGTTGTAAATATGACACATGGATACTAGCTAGAGCTGTAAATTAGTCTGGATTTTTTTTTTTTTTTTTTTTCTTCTGGTTTATATTTTTGTACCATTGATTTTTAATAATTGAATTTCCTGTCTGATGCTGGGAAACAAGAATTTTATTTCAAAGAATATGATTGTGTATATGCAGTTCTTGATCACCTACGCATATGATTAATTATGGTTTATACATGCATATTTGTTATTAGAACTAAACAGGCTTTTATTGTATTAGATCATATGGCCAAATTACTATCATTATCAATTTAATTAATTTGAAATCAATTATAATTTTTCAAAATTTTGCATTTTTTTCCTTTAATATTGAAAAATGTACATATTATATAGGTTCCTATACAGATATATGTAGGCAATGTTGAAATCTTGAAAGTTGAGAGAAGTGAGGTAGAAGAAAATAATATGAATCTGTTAACACTATTAATACTACCAGATGCAAAGATGTTGTTGATGATTAGAGTCAAATTATTGTTTTTATGATTGGATGAATGAAACTAGTTTCAAATATTTGTATTGCACTTTTGACCTTTTTTATGATGGATTGTAAACAGTACCATACAACCTTTGTGTAATTGTAAAAATGAATAGGGATAAGAAAAGATCTGTATGAATTTTGTATTACTGTTCAAGAGAAGCAAGTAAACAATAAGATAAGAGCAAAGTCTTGAAAGAAACCAGTATTCCATGTTTAGTGGTATGCATGTATATCAAAGGTACGAGAAACAGGAAAAATCATACTGATGAGAAGAATGTGATATGAATGGTCATAGATTTGAATGATATGCACTTCAATATAAATTTACTATGATGAAAAACAGTTAAATCAGTTGTTGTGAACCTGTTAACAATTCTCTTGTTTGTCTTTGTGTAAAATATTCTTGTACAAATACCACTGGTGTATAGTTTTTCAGCCTTTCGCAAAAATTGTTTGTAATATTTAAAGCATAATATATTCTAAAAAATCTTCAATCGGTTAGTGTTTCATTAGAAATTATAGTCTAGAAATTACTGTTAGTATTGCCATCAAATTAAAATCTGCAATTTAATCTGAACTCGATCTATAAAGATAATTAAGATTTATCATTAATAAATTCACTGTAAATTTAAAAAAAAAAAAAAAAAAGGATTAAATTCTGCTGTATATTTCAATTTTTATGTTAGCGTGAAAAATGTTTTCATAAATGAAACCTTTGTGGTGACAGTGGTGCATTTTTTTCCATACCCTAAGATTTTCTCCAGTATTTGTCATCTTTGAATAGGAACGATTCTTAGCATTGTTTGGATATTTTTTACATTAGAAAACCTACTTTTCCAAACAGTTTAAGTCATGTTTGACTGGTTTTATTTATGTTTTTGTAAATCATTGTGTCATATTTTTTAAAGAAAAGAATATTGATTGTGATCACATGTCATTTTTTCCTGAGTGATGTGTTGGACCGATTTTTAAAAATAGATCTATATTCGGTATGTTCATCTATTCAGAATGAATTGAAGGATATTGTTACTGTAGATAGTTCATTTAATAGAGGCATACTCTTTTAAAATTGTTGTTTATTGTTTGGAATGCATGATGACTTTTAAGTTGCCATTTTTAGGTAACTAGTAACGATGGTCACAAGTGCCTAGTGCACTTTGTCTTATTGATGCAAAACAATTCATAATAGCTGTGTAGTAGGTTGTGCATACCTTTGTGAGCTTTTTCAATTCCTCATAGAATGAAATATGTCTAAACCAGAAAAATTCCTTTTAGAGTCATATAACTTGGATTAGAGGAGGTATTCCTCACTTGAAATGTTTTGGCTTCTCCATTGATAACTACTTTGTCAAGATTGAGACTAACTTTAATGATGACACACAAATTTTGAAATATAACCTCTATAATCTTTTTCTAGCATTTACAAATTAATTGTTTAAGTGAACTAGTGATTAAGGAGTATACATTATTTTCTAACACCCATGTTGTCATTGTGTTGATAACCATGTGCAATATCATTGTGTCATCTTATATATAACTTGCATACTCAAATTATATCTGGGCACTCTATTAACCTAAGATGCTAATGTATACAATGAATTTATACCTCCACCGTTTTAATTCCACAGTCTTCTGATAATGGTTTTTGTAGAAAAGCAAATAGGGCTTCAAACCTTACAAATTCACAAATTTGAATTTTCATCATGAATATATACCTAAACTATATACTGTTTATGTCGAGTCCTCTTTAGGAATAATTATAAATTGCTTGAAAAAAATTTTCAAAAAAATCTACTTATCATTTCTAACAAGAACATAATTTATATTGGCAATGTAAAGTACAAACATTTAGTTTAACTGGTTTTGAAAAATCCTTGTCTGCTTTTCTCAAAAGTCTTTTTGGAGGAGCTGAGTTTTTTAAAGAGAAATTGCACATTGTAAGGCCGGTTTTATCTGAGAGAGTGTTATAGAATGTGTGTGAGCGTTGTCCTTACATTCCTGTGTAATTGTTAGGATGTGATCAGGATCTTTTGTGTTAATAAATGATACCATTTCAGTTGCTTTGTGTAGTTTATTTGTGAATAAACGGAAACTACACATACAGTACCATGATATAACAAGACCACTTCAAACCTGCATTATCAGTAACTTCAAATCTGGAGAACATTTTTGTCAATTTTATCTATATAGTTTGTTTACTGGCCCAGTGTACTCTTATTATTGATCCCATTCTAAAAATATATTTTAACTTTTGGCCCTCTTACTATACACTATTACTATAACTTCTGAATCTTTCAGTTGTAAAAAGACATGATGGGATGGACTGATATGAGCAATGACATGTTTAATTTCCTGATTTGTTTATTGTAATCCAATTTATTTAACTGATCACCAGGAGAATAATTCCCAGTCAAGAATGCTGTACATGTAGCCAGTCTCAAGAATAATCTTGTTGGGGTCGCTTTGACAGTTTCTTCAAGGACGTATATTGATCCTATATTTCAGGAAATATTCAGTATGCAATATCTTACAAGGCATTATCCTGTGTACTTTTCTATGAGATAGATGATATACATTATGAGATATCTAACAGAATGTGATCAAAAACTGGATCGGCATTGCCTCATGCATAAATATGAGATTGACTTGCCATAAAGGTGATTTAATTTGACCATGGTACACAGAATGCCATTTTTAGATTTGATATTAGGTAGTTTCTGTTGTTATGGAGACTTGCCTGTTTTAACATCAAATATGTAGCTTAATTGTTTTAGCTTCTCCAATGATAACCACTTTCTCGAGATGGAGACCAGCTTTAACGATGACGCACACAATTTGAGATACAATCTCTAGATATTTGTTTAACTTTACATGTATACTTAAGGGAAAGGCACTAAAACTAACGCAATAAATTGAATGTGGACACTAATTACAGTGCTTGGTTTTGATTTTAAAACCGTCTTAACAGGTACGTATATATAGGTATTTTCGATACGGTGTACCCCTCTGCTACACCGAGAAGACGTACTTCAGGAGTGAAACACTGGCATTGATATCAGCAACACTGAATTTTTACAGTTACAAGAAACAGACTGTACTATGTTACAGTTAACGAGAACCTTGCACATCATCCGATGTCTGACGTGTTCACACCGTGCAACTGTAGTGTACGACCGACTGTTGTAGCAGCTGTTAAAATCTTACTGTCATCACAACAAGGGGCCAGATGTGTCTATTCCCATTTATCAGAACAAACGATTACAAGCTGGTTTCTGTCGCTCCTTTCAAAGGGTAGTTCAAACGTGTACAAGGATTAGATGATACGAGAATATAACTAAAACTGATGAGAATCTACGTAAAGTATGTAACTTAAAATTTCAATTTCAAATTCGTAACTATGTTATACTAGCCTTTTAAGAAGACCAGTTATTATTTGTTGTACCGAGATATCGTGAAATCCACTTTACACATTGTTCTGTTGTATACAATTTTGATGACCACGTAAGTCGTAAAATTGTTTTTCCTAATACTTTTAATAAGAGTAAAAATATTTTACATTCAACACTAATGATAGTAATAATCAATATTCTAAAGAAAGATAACCCCAACTTTAATCAAACTCGAATATGTGCTTGGTGTGTTTTGAACGTTATTAGGTGAAAGTTATGGTTATTATATCTGCAATATCTGTGTTGCGCGAATCTACTTTGATTTACTCAGAGTAACTTATGATGAAATTTAATTATATGCGTGGCGTAGTAGCACGTTTAGGACATATCTTCACATAGTGTGTGTGCCGAATGATGAGAGTTATGAGAACTTCTAAAATAGGATATAAAGTCTCGAAAATGAACATATTTCTGTTCGTAATTCCCTGAGACTGATTAACACTTTGTAAGTAAAACGATATAGATAAAAGAGTATATTCCGAAGGAGGATAACTTTTTTCTGCACAAATGCTTAAATAATTAGATTAGATCAAAAGTATTAATTAGATGTGTATATGTCAATGTTATCAAAGCTTTAGTTGTATTCATTATCAAGTCAATAGTCACGGTGCCATTAAAACAATATTTGGTTACCCAAGTATTCTACTATGTAGTAAAATGGTCAACCACGTGGAAGGCTAACATGTATTGTATTGTATATGTCGGTCACGGTGGTACATCTTTTGGTTCGTTTATCAAAGGTTCATATTACAATTAAAACATTGTATGATTATTGTCTTCTTTAAATGGCATTTAAATTGAAGTGTTTTAAATATATACGCCGAGAAAGGTCCACCATGGGGTAATTTAACATCGTTGGTGTAAATATCAAGTAATATATACTTAATCTTTATTTATCATATTGTTTTTGGACACTTAAATTCCAGATTGCAGAACTAGATTAGTGCTATTTAAGCGATGAACAAATGCATCCACGACTACAAAATACTTAGAGTCTGACAGAATTAAATGTTTTACAATGATAACGGTAATTTTGTTTTATGTCACCTACAATAGTCTAAACGTAACCCAACATGCCAGGGAGGTATTGAAATGTTCCTCTATATATACATGTACAGCTCACAATCTATATCCATATAGTTCTGCTACTGAATCGAACTTTCATGACGCGTAGCTGTGAATTTCTATAAACTATATAATAATCCATGAAAAAAAAAACGTATTTTAAGTTGCTTTTTCTGGTGGACAAATTGAATATATGAAATTATGAATAATTTGAAAGGTTTACTTATAAGGTATATCTAAGATAAGCTGATTAATAATTTCCCTCATAAACAGGACCGATTATACAAGTACTGCTTAAACCATGACAGAATACAATACATTTATGGCCAAATATAATAATTGAATAGTATTTTTTTTAAGTTGTAGAGGCGTTATATAGAAGATACACATAACGGTTTTTATTCGGTTTTATTCTAATTCTTTTTTTATCAAATGGAAATAAATCGATGACAAAAGTTGTCAAAATTAACTGGCGATAGAAATATTCTCATCAATTTAGAAATATCATAATATGCCTCACATATAGTATTTGAACGTTGTAAATATTTTATGAATAGGTGTATAATTTTAACTTCCACGCATAAAAAATATGGTTTCATGGAAAAAAGATCAATTATGAAACATTTTCACAAAGTTGTTTTACTTGTACACACATTGTATATATGTATTGACCTAAAGCGGACTTTGGAACATGTGAAATTTTTTTTGTGTATAATAACCTCTTCGAAAATTTGCGAGATATCTATACTCAATGTACCTGATGGTAATGTCATCTAAATGACTTTTTGAATATATTTTAATCGTCTAAGATGATGTCGGACTGCTCCTTAAACGTGATGAAGGGGCCTATAAACTCTCGCACATCTAGTATCAAATAAGCAAAGCAGAACCTAATCGACTCTCTGGGGTCGTTGGGTCATTACATACACATTTACATTGTTACCACCTAGCTTATGTATGGCATATGAGAGACTCTTCCTAGCTCGTTTTTCTAATTCAAACTCCCTCTCTGTCTTGAAGTGTTCACCGTACATCTAGGTATTTACAATATAGATGAAATGCGTGTCGATTTCGTTTCCATCGCATAGTACTTAATTATCATGTTAACTCATTTGAAGATAACTGTTCATATTTTGAGAAATTAACCTAAATTTTTATATGAATATTAACCTCCCAGGCAGATATATGTTCAAGAAGTAGATATCTGGTTTTCACCACACGTACCTGTGGTTTTCACAGATGTACATGAAAATCCAAACAGTAATCACCACCATAAGACCTCGTGAAGAGTAAATAGATGCAACTACTATACTACCTACTATACTACCGCTAGCAATATTCGTATTTACCGCCCAATAAAATGTTCAGAGGAAACCGCGCCCTTCAACAGGTGAGTTAACATAGTATGTAAATGAGCACTCGAAGCGCCACCTGTAACTTGAAGACTCACAGACGCCATGATGGCCAGGCTGAAGATGACCTGGCTTCTTATTTGTGGGCTAATATACTTATTCGACACAGGTAATTATCACACATTTAATTAAAATGGCGAGAGACTATCTCCAAACACGGACACGTGCATATATGTAAAGTGTACGCGTCTACTTTGCTTGATCCAATCCAATTATTACACCTGAGGAAAGGTGTCATGACCAAAGAATGTTTACGAACAGCGGACTTCACTTCCGGATATTGGATTCACGTGTTTATGGAAACTTCAGTCTTGTTTTCTCATCAGTTATTTTGAAACGTCAAATCGATATGGTCAGTCTGAAATTATTAATAGTTATACTCGATCGGTACACCTTGCAACTGTTTTTAACACCTGTACATTTATTTTAAAGTGATTATCTCCCTTGTTTACCACATTCTCAATGTACAATTTTCGCTTTGTTTCTTATTAAACAGGAAATGCACATATTTTTGGCATCATTGATTAAATGATTAAATTAAAAGGTGGACACATTCAGGTGGTGCTTATTGATCAACAAAATTCAAAGAAAATCTTAAGTGAAACAAAACAGCAGAATTTAATGTTTCGTGACAATATTTTGACCAGGAAACATCTTATACATTTTAGATTTATTACGATGTGTTTTTAAACAAAATTACTATGATTTGTTTTACTCCAAGTTCTAACTGTTATTCTTAAATACTATCAAATCAGTGTTACAATCTTATTCTAGTTACTCAAGAAATACCTTTTTAAGAACATGAGCTTTGGACCGATTATCAACATCCTAGCTCTTCTGAAAACATTTCATCTATAATAAAATCATTTGATTTCCATTGTATACCCCACTAAGTTCTATTCTTAACTGAAGGAATGCCTTCATTCTCTTGATATGACGAGAGTTATCTTTACCCCAAGAAAGGTGCACAAAATGGCAGCAATACAAACATGATTGTGAACTATACTGAAGCGAAATGTATGGAGGATGAAATCATAAAAATGATCAAATTTCTGGTTGATATTATCTTTGTTGGGTTTGGTGGTAAGATTTTCCAACAGACTTTTGACATAGTTGTGGAAACAAACTGTACCGTTCTCTTGACTGACTTGTTTTCGTTTTCATACGAGGCTGATTTTAACTAAGAGCTTATCAAACAGGGTTACTTAGACCTTATAAAGTCCTTCATTTTCACTTTCGCTTATATTTAAAACATACATGACAATAAATGTATTACCCACATTCATTGTATTTAACCTGAATTGGAAATGAATGACATGACAGACTCTCCTACATCAGCCATTTATCTCAGTTTTTTCAAGGAATCCAATATAGACAGCTTTCTATCAAACTATTTAATATGTATGCCATATTGTGTATTTTCCATTTCTGGATAGCACCAACTCTGCATTCCTGTCTTATGGTGTGAATATGTCATAGCTGATTACATATTCTAGGGCCTGTTCTCAATATCATGATTTTCTTGTAAGATAGCAGTAACTGAAAAACAAGCTCACAAGACAGGGTTTTGAGTGATGCAGGTTGATGAAGATTAAGGGGAAACTTTATGGTGTCATTATGATCTCATTGAAAACTATTTTATTTCTTTGTGCGAAATGAAGCTGGAAATATTTGATGCTCATTAGTGGTTCTATTGATGTTTATCTTGTTCCATCTGGGAACATGACATTACCTACTGCATTACCCATCCCCAGGAACTTGGTCCTGGTATCATGTATCAGAAATGACAGTAATCCCAATAGCGACATTGACATTTGGGACTCAAGATATTTGAGTCCTGAACTCATGCGTTCCCTGTTGGACTAACTAAAATTTTGGGACCTCAATTAAACTCTTAGTAATGGAACACATCAATATTTTTAAACTGGTATTCTGGACTTGTCTTAAAATATCCTACAGAAATTATTGAGTGGCAGACATGACTATTTATATTGTGATTCTAACCTTTCTTTAAATGTTAACTCGGTATTAACAGCCAACTGCTGATTGCAGTGAACAATTTCTCCAAAGACCATCTTCCTTTATAGGTATAAATACCATTTTTCTCTACTACCTTGAGTAGCATGTTTGACAGTATAACCTCATCAATCATGATTTCATCCAGTTCCTGGAGATAGGGGCTTTTCCCCTAGGTTGCATCATCACTTACATTATGAAAAACATACATACTCCATGACCATATATTAGTTGCTGTGCATGCACACAAGATAACCAACACACATACACATATGCCTGGTGGATCCTGGTCATTCTTGCTTTTAATCATAATTGGTTTTTAGGTTCTTCAATACAATTTCTGTATGTCTAATCCGGACAAAAAAAAGTTAACTTAATACTTAATATGTTGGAAAAATTTAGGGTTGGTAGACTGGCAGGTTAAAAACCAATAATTTTACTTAGTATATGGTTGATATGGAAGAGAGATCTTGATTTGAACAGTCCTGTTTTTGAAACTAGCCGTAAAAAGTTAAGAGTAGGCATAAAAAAAACTAGAGTAGTTAGGGTTACTTGAAATCAAATTTTTTTTTTGGCCTCATGTGCAGTGGCTACATTTTCTAGATACCAACATTTGCTATGAGATTCCTAGGGACTATTAGAAATTTAAATATGTTAATGAAGAGTTTTGTGTCCGACTGGATCTAAAAGCAATGCAGGACATAACTAGTACTGTATACATGAAATATTTTCAGCACATCGTGAATATTATAGTTTGAAATACATATCTTGTACATAATTATAATTTTTTAGCGTATTTGATTGTTGTCTAGGTGAGGCCATTCAGTGCTACCAGTGTGACAGTAACGAAGATGCTTCCTGCCCGTCCACAGAGTACTTTGATACAGAAGTCAATGCACCTATTGACTGCAACAGTTTTGAAGCAAAAACTCCTGGGCAGTTTTGCATGAAAATCACACAGGAAAGTCCTGGATGTAAGTCATATAATGTAGCTAATTTTTTTTAAGGCAGTTTTTTTTTACACCTAGACAAAAGTGGTGAGCTTTTGCATTTTATAACATTGACCATATATTTATCTTGCTTTATTAAAATTCATACTATCAAAACCTTAACAATTAAACTGTGTGTATGAGAAGTTGGTATCAGACTGATTTCAGTCTGATGAATTATAGAAATATAGTTCCAAACTCAAAGGATATAATAGCAATTTTATGACTTACCTAATTAAGTTTGTTAAATGCAACAAATAAAATGGCTTATTTTAGCAGTATTTCATATCCTAAGTGAGATGTTGAAGTTAATCATGAATAATTATGGCATATTTATGCTGCTATTTTCTGTCACTACTGAATACAGCAAAAACATCTAAGGCAGGTATATTCTGACAATGGCAGTGTCAGTTGTAGTATAAATTGTATTGGCGATAATTCTGATATGCATTGTAACCTGTTGATATAACAAGTGCCAAAAGGATTTTCTCATAGTGTTTACAACCCATAGTAGATCATAGCTCATTATATGACATTTCTATGAACTAAGATACCTCTTGTCCATCAGCTGGATATTGTAATCATTGGTGGTTGATATGCATATGTTTTCTTTTACAGGGGGAGGTTGGAAAAAAATAACAAGACGTTGTGGATCGAGGACAGATTCTGGTGAGATGGTGTTTTTATTTATCTTTTTTTTTTTTTTTTAAAAGAAGTACAATGTTATAATGTCTCTTTTCCTAATCTATGATAGAATTTTCTAACATGTGGATAATCATTTGATTGATTCATATCCTTCAGGTGTGGCATGGGGATGTAGATGGTCCTGGGACCAAGTTGGTGTGTTCAAGGAGATCTGTTATTGCGAGTATGACATCTGTAATGGAGCCGCAAGATCAAGTCTTCAAATATTTCTCGGCATTGGAATAGCTCTCTTTGCCTATATCACCAAAATGATTCTGTGATGATCATATTCTTCATCATCTCATCTTTATACAATTCATATCATTACTTAAATCACATCAGAGAAGTTCTGTACATTGTATCAAGACATATTTAGGTAAATGGAGCAATTGTGAAAAAATAGTTGGAATTAATTTTGTTTAAAAATAATTTAGAGATGAAAGAAATTATATGTATATGTATCAATTGTTCATTTTTAATCAGAAATAATCACACAGAAATATTATCAATTCTGTGTAGAAGATCAAAAATTATTTCTTACTTTAAAAGTTTATAACTTAGAAAATATGTTCATTTACTCTTCATAACTACAGTTGGTTATTACAAATGTTTTCATTCTGATGTGTACTTGCATTAATTATATTATTTTCTTTTCTTTTCTTTGACAATACCTAGAAATCATTGTGTGGAATCATCCGTATCAGAGTTGTTTGTATTCTTAATGAGGTAATGCAATATAGACTGTATAGTAATAACAAAAATGTTTGATTATGCCCACAATAGACCCAAATTATATTTTCATCTTAGAACAGTGTGTGTAGGATACAAACTTATTTTTATAGGACAAGAAAAGATCAAAGTTTCATCTGATTAAATATTTCCTGGAGAGGTATAGAGGATCTTGGTAGAAGTTGCTTCTCTGTGTATCCTAATTCAGACTTCGAAAATGTTGCTTCAAGGAAGGGATATTTTTGTGCCACAGCTTTCGGCTCTGAATAAGAATTAAGCTGGAATTATGAACAACATCTGGTACAGGTAAAACAGTCTGATCATGTTTGGGATATGATGCACAGAATTAGAAACTTGTGCTACTTCTTTGGTGCATGCTGGCGCCATGGTCACTTTTGTCTATGCAAGAATTGTATATGCCTAGTTAGATATCATAATGGGAAGGTTTAATCACTCACTCACAGCTTTCCACCTATATTGCACATTCCAAAAGGTTAGAAACACAGTTTGAACATAATTCCACATAATTGATATCTTAATCATCTTCTTGATGAAATCTTTCATCCGTTGTATGAAAAATTTCAATGAAATTTTTATTATGCTATGATGATTGGACATTTTTGTACTAATCAAGATTTTTACAAGATGTGAAAAGATGTTTATTGAAAAATTGATAAACCTAGATGTTGCTTATTGCACAAGACAGCAGCATTTTTCGACAAATGGTTTAGAAATGTAGGATACTGATTTTAATTTTTGTTTTGGTTTGGACTTTTTTTAATAGATCATTTGTTACATCTCTCAATACTGAAATTGCATTGTGATATTGATATTGTCTGTTAACTATTGAGACACAAGGACAATTGTCAAGATATGGTTCGATGAAATTTGGTGCTCTCTTTTAAAAAATAATCTTCCATTGGAGTTTATTAGTTCCTGGTGAAGAAAACATGCAAGATATTTCACACAACTTGTTTTCGATTTGTGATATTACTGATAAGAAATTCTATCAATAAAAAAAATATGTCCGCTAGAAATTATTTGAGTACAAATTTATATCAAGTTAGTTGCCAACAGTTAATTTCAAGTAATGCCTAGTTTTTCAGTTGTTTGATTAAATATGGTCTATGTTATCTGTCCGATGATGTTTATGATGTTTACAATGTTTTTATGTCCAGCCATATATTGTGTGTGTTAAATACATGTTGTTAAAATATTTTGGCTGCTTTATCAATATGAAAAGCACCACCATATCGAAACATATCAGAAGTGTATTATATTTTTGTGTATTTTTTATTATTTTAAAATGTAAATAATGATTTTACTAGACTTGTAGATTATGTAGATGATGATTGATGTACACATACATAACATTCCAGGATGTATCCTTAACTTAGTGTAAATAACTTATAATCCAGCCATCATTTAACTGATAGATAATTTAAGGAATGCCACAAGGCAAACTTTACAAAATATGTGTTTGAACCTTGTCAATCTGGTCCATTGAAACTTAAAATTTGGAATTCTCCTCGCATTTTTTAAACAAATTTCTGAAATAGAATCTGCTCTTGTTAAACTGAAAAATGACAATATTGTAAATTAATATGTTTAGATTGGATTAAATCAATTTGTAGAGGAAGAAAATCAGTTAAGATTTTTTCTTTTTTGTGAATATAATAGTAAAGCTGTTGGTCAAATTTATATAAGCAGTTCTTTTATCATACACATTGACCAGGTATGTGGTCATAGAATATAGTGTTACCTATCCAACAGACAATGAATCAAAGAGTTCTCTAAAATTGTTCCAAGCACTTGTTGCTGTTTAGTTTATTCGAAAAACTTTATACAGTACCCAAAGTGTCTTGGTCAACAAGGTATGTAATATGATCACCTTTATGGTTTGATAAGACAACATGAAAACACTGAACTTTTAAGGCACATTGAATATTTTCATGCAATTTATTGTTCAGTTAAATGACTTAATGAGAAAAATGGCTTGTAACAGTCAGCAGCTATATACCTAGGTACATTTTCTACATTGTTGAGTTTTATTAATTTTAAGACTACTTATTGGAAGTGCTAGAAACCAGAACCTTTGTTCCAACAAATTTATATAATGTTTTTTTTCTTTAACTACTTTAAATGACTTTTATAATTTGTTTACACTTAACATACATGTACTTACAGATTTAGACCACAGAACTCGATGTTATAGAAACATATCAAGTTTTTTTCCTCCAAAAATGTGTTTTATTACATTCCTCAAACTTATCGTATGTATGTTTTTGATGCACACATGAACTTTCCTTCTTGGTTGTGATCTATTCCTAAATTGACGATATTTAAAGGGTCCAATTAGATTTTTAATTGTTAAATTTATAGCAAGCAAATTTCCATACCTATAACATTCACAAGTTAATATGTAAATAACTAGAAAGAAATAATGGTTGTAGCATACCAGTTGTATATACATGTTATTGTTTGGTAGAACAATATTTCCATTTGTAAATTTACATGCAATCAGCAGCAATCTTAATTTTCATATTCACGTTTTGTAAAAAAGAAATTAAAATAAAATTTTTGTAATGTACATGTTTTAATTTCATAATTAAATCAGTGTATTTCTTTATCAGGAAAATCAGCAAACTCATGGACATTGATGCTCCTTGAGAAGTCACTGGCACATGCATTCAAATCACCTCTTGAAGCCCATCATCCTCTGAGGGTGGGCTGTTCCAATCACCCTTCATCTGTCTGTTTGTCCACCGGTCTGTCTTGTTATCGCTATTTCTGGAGAAGTGCTGTATAGATCTTTATGAAATTACCTGTGAGTTCCTAATTGTGCAGCACCCCATTTTGGGACTGATTTGAAAACAACATCGCTGTCATTTCAAGCTGATCTTGGATTTTGATAGTAATAGCTTGTTATCACTTTTTCTGGAGAAGTAATCAATGAATCTTTCGCAAATTTCATTTGTAGATTCACCTTGTTCCTTAGTTGTGCATAGTCTATTTTGAGACAAAAATTAAATGTCTGACAGGCAGCTGTCCTGGATTTTGACAATGAAATTTTGTTATTGCAAACATTTCTAAGTTAAAAGTACGCTTCTTAATAATGCCTACAGATCAAGTTCCCACCCATGTGATTGCTCTGTCCTTGCCCACTATATTTGACTTCTTCCCTGCCATGTGTTTACCTTGTCCACACACTGTATATATTTGGCTTGTTCATGTATTTGTCATGTCATCATCAGCAATATTGGACCTGTTACCTGCAACATTTGTCCTGTCCTCACCCACTGTATATTGGACCTGTTCCCACCAACACATGGGCTGTCCTTACCAACCTTTTCTTTGAACTGTTCCCACCAACACTCGAGCTGTCCTCACCCATTGTATAATGGGCCTGTTCCCAAACACATTTGTCCTGTCCTCACCCACTGTATAATGGGCCCGTTCCAAAACACATTTGTCCTGTCATCACCCACTGTATAATGGGCCCGTTCCAAAACACATTTGTCTTGTCCTCACCCACTGTATAATGGGCCCGTTCCAAAACACATTTGTCCTGTCCTCACCCACTGTATAATGGGCCCGTTCCAAAACACATTTGTCCTGTCCTCACCCACTGTATAATGGGCCTGTTCCAAAACACATTTGTCCTGTCCTCACCCACTGTATAATGGGCCCGTTCCAAAACACATTTGTCCTGTCCTCACCCACTGTATAATGGGCCTGTTCCAAAACACATTTGTCCTGTCCTCACCCACTGTATAATGGGCCTGTTCCAAAACACATTTGTCCTGTCCTCACCCACTGTATAATGGGCCCGTTCCAAAACACATTTGTCCTGTCATCACCCACTGTATTTGACCTGTTTTCATCCATATGCATGGCATGTAGCGTTAATTTTCCCAAAGTGACCTTTCCCTCTGAGTTATATTTATTACTATTACACATGCAGTAATTCAATAATGTTTCAGGATATTTGGACAATGTCTGGGAATCCACAGGCCTTGTTTTCAACAGAAGTATATGAAACTTGATCAACAGTTGCATGGTAATATTGCCGTTGCAATATCGTAATTCTGAGTGTGTAATCCACCTTGGCATATGGTGTGGTCTATTTCAATGAAACTCTTGCTTTTGTGAAGTAGGAAATATCACATCGGTTGGAGAATGTGGTAACAATATCCATTACACCCATAGTGGTGACTTATTAAAAGAATATATGATATGATAATTATAACAAATATGTTCTGAATATTTTTTAATTAACAAATAAATGTAATCGTGTAAACTCGAATCACGATCTTAAAACTATCAACGGTGTTGGTACATGAAAGGGTAATTTTGGAGATAGAAACATGGTTTTTTTGGGGGGTTTTGTTTTTTGTTTTTAAATTACAAATGACCTGAATGAGCAATATTTGTACTGCTAAACTATATTCTTGTGGTTACTAACCAGAGTCAGCATGTACACAAAACAAACTCCAGGTATAAATTTCAGACATGTACTGTATTTAAAAGAGGAATACTGTTGTATTTCATAATCTGTACAATCACAGTTTACTCCCAAAGCTATTCACATTACCTACACACATCTCTCACACTTCCATGACACACTTGTTCATTTACAATTCTTGCATCTCAACACACTCCCACGCTCTGTGTACAGGTCATCCATCATCCCAATAGTGTCTGATAAAGTCAGGTGACATCCACAAATATACGGAGAGGCAACCAGATGCCAAAATAATGAACTGTAGTTCTTAATATATTCACAGGGGCTAAACATAAATGTCTGAAACTGATAATACTATACCAATAATAGGTTAACTTCTGTAATTGTTATGAGAATAAGATGTAGCCTGAAAAACATCAATCAAATGGAAAAGATTTGATTACATTTCAACATCTGAGATAATTATCAATTTTGTGTTTTACAAGTAATCTTTTCAACTTGAGTAAAAAAGAAATTCCTGTGGTTGCAGTACATTTATACACCTAAAGTACATTGTGCATGTTAAACAACCATATACATTTGTAATTAGCACATTTTGATTTGAGTCTTTTACCCGAAATGTATAACTACCAGTATTTTCAATTTATCTAGTCCATGTGAGTAAACTGATAAAGCATTACACATTCACACACTGTATATCAATAAGCAAAAATGTAGGCTTCCATCAGAAAAAGTGCTTACCCAATTAAATTGAAATGAAATTCTTTACCATAACCAGCGACATAAAAAAGTGTAAACATATACCACAAACATATAGTTTGTGTTGCAAACCTTACGCGAATACCATTTAACAGAGTATTAAATGAAAAAGAAGAGTAGCTATTCTGGAGCAGTATATAAGCTATTGCCTTCGACTGGCTGCTGATGTGTTGTGGTATGTTGATTGTTGAGTATGTCAATAGGCTGGCCTGTAAAACATGTACTGGATGAGTATTTAAATATCAACACCTATCAAGTTACCTTATATTTATATAGGAACTGCTTTATGGATAAGTGATACAGGTGACATTGTATAAAACATCAAGCTATATTGCATGTATTAACTCTGTTACATTAAACACCGTCTCTGTATGGAGTCTAACTAAAGAAATGAACCATGTATGCAGTACTAATTGTTTACATGGACAGTATAAGTGTTATTATGGTAAACATGGACATTGTATGTGGTATAATGTATTATGATATACATGGACAGTGTATGTGGTGAAATGTATTACGATATACGTGGACAGTGTATATGGTGAAATGTATTATGATATACATGGACATTGTATATCTGAAAATCGTTCAGACAATATTAGTAAGAGGTAATATTGTTTGAATGGATGCAGCATGTACTGTGATAGCTACATTTGATTCAATGATACTGCATATTCTGAACATGCATACTGATGTTGAAGTTCATGCCCTGTTCTTTTATCACTTGACAATATCACCTTTGAAAAAAACCCATTTAAATGGATCAGCAGTTAATAAAAAATGTTTTAGGTAGTACAAAGGCCATACTTTCACATGTAATCAGAAAAAGATTTAAAAAAACCTTGTCAACACTTCTTTTCTTTCTGTCTATCAATAGACTAGTGAATCAAATATTGATTCAATGTTATCAGGCTTACTATGATGAATGAATTTTCTAGTAAATTCCTACTGGGCAAAATAAAATTTGTCACTAACACCTTAAAACATTCACATGTATAGCTATTATGTTAATATACAGTCTTTTATACAGTGGCTGAGCATTTAAAAAAATTTTAATTAACATCAAATCCATCAAGCAAATTTGGGATTCATTAATGCCTGAGCAAGGTTAATCATGATAATTCAAATATCAAAATGTCATTCTTACATAACACAAGATGAAAAGTAAAGATAATTTAGAAATTGAAAATTAACAGACATCATTTCTACTTTAAAATATTCAAGTATCAAAAAGTGCTTGGCATTTCATCAAGGTATTTTCTTTTCTTTTTTCTGTTTCTGTTGCAGTGGTAGTCTAAATCTGTATACAATCGTAGTATGGATTTGTTACTCTGGTCTTCTGGATCTGTTGTTATGGTAGCATGGATTTGTTACTATGGTCACCTGGAACTGTTATCCCAGAAGTGTGTATGTGTTACTATCAGTTTGGGTGCAGGATATTACTTCTTTGTTTTAGTAGATGCAAGTCTCGTTGCCCTCAATATCAACTTATACCAAAACAATTATTTTCCATGAAGTATTCATCAACACTGCCATGTAAACCATACCATCATTCAGTCAAATTCCAAGGACATGACAAAGAAATGATTTTTAGGTATTGAGGACTAGATTGCACACAGCATAATCACAAGTGACCCGTCAAGATTTACACATTGCCACATCTGTCTTAACCATTTTTACCTAAAAACAAGACTTTTTTCCCCTTTCCTATCTTTTTTGTTACAAAAAACATGTTAGTTTGATGTATAAGAATATCTTCATGGGAATCTATTATCACATATACTGGCAAAATTTGTATCTGTATTGCAAAAAGCAGCTCAATATGTGGATGTTCTGTTTCAAAATAAGAGTTTTATCAGCAGCATGATCAGAATCATTACACTGATACTGAATTCAAGTGTTTTCATTAGCGATGGGGAGATAATCAAACATGATGACAACAAAAATATCTAAATACTGATACAAATAAGTCTTAAACAATATGTAATCTAAATAGTCTTTAAGTTACCTATAACACAAGAATATGTATTTTATACTAACAAGTCACACACACATGCATGTCAAACATATCCAGCTGACAAAACAAACAAGGAGTATTACACATATCTGTGAATTGGTGACTTAGATCTTGGTTAATGTTATCTCACAAATCATAATATGCACTCACTTACATGACCAATATGTACATGAGCCAATGTCCTTCCCCACAGCTCATTTCACACTTTTAAAATCAACAAGGTCTTACTATATTTAAAGTCTGAATCCTACCAAGGGAGCATGTTTATAAACAAGTATAAACAAAAAAAAATGCTGATCTGGTAGATTGAAACCACTGGTTGATTTAGATATCTTATCAAACTATTTAACATATCACGCTAATTGTTTCAATGAGATATTCATACAAATGCGATTGTGTTTCATACTCTGATAAATGTAATGAAAACATCTCCATAGAGGTTTTGATATTGCTAATGACTCAACAAAAAAAATAATTCATCGTGATATAAATAGCTACTGATGGTAAACAAATGATGAATTATCTTTTCCAAGATTGCCTAACTTACACATGGATATGTTTACTTCTGTGAAAAGTCCCACATCACACAAAATTGGAGAAGAAGAGTTGAAATAACACAGATTCGATTGTGCTCATAGTACTATGAATGCAATAGATGCTCTGGGAATGCATTTCTCCTGTTGTGTGCAGTGGACATGTATATATAAATTAACAATTTTGAGTTCTACAAAACTGTGTTATTGTGTTATGAAGAGAAAAATATTTGTTTACACAATGGTTGAAATTTAAAATTTCTCTTATGTTCACTTTCCAGCTGACTGTATCAATTACAGAACAAATGCAATCTGACTGTATCAATTACAGAACAAATGCAATCTAACTTGATTGCCTTATCCACTATATGACTATTTATGATCTGTATCACATAAGTTTCCAACTTGTTCCCTATGAAAATAAATACATTTGGAAATTGTGCAAACTCCTATCAACTTATGGGAGTTCAATCCTTATTGCATATACAGGGCTGGTTATCCCTTTATATTCCCTCATGTACACCATAATTAAGATATAACGGTAACTTTCTAGGGACATATCTTCCATGTTGACAGGTTGAGCTGCTGCTAAGCTTAATCACGGTTTAAATCAGCTGAGTAGCTTTCAGCAGTACGTTCTAACAACACAGTTGATCACTCCAGTAGTCAGACATTCTCATTTCATACCTGAATATCAAAACCACATTCAGCGAAATGATGACGTTCAGATATTATCATTCAATACCATATCAAAGTCTGAAAACATTTAGATTTTCTCATTCAGTGTAAAATCAATGTCTGTATTTAGATATAAGATGTGTATACCTAAATATCAAATACATTTTTGTACATCAAGATACTTGAAATATCCATGCCAATTTTCTGTTCTGTCTAATTTTTCTGTGAACTCCATAATTTGCTGTTTGAAATACCCTTATAAACTTCCTCTTGTCCATTAAAGAGTGCTACAACAAGCACCTGCACATGTCCATAGACTATAAATATTAAAGTGTAAGATGATGACTAGGTGCTCCTTCGTAAAATCCTGTAGATCACAAAGCTCATGCCTGCCAGTACAGCCATACCGATCCCAACACGTAGATACACGTTCTCTTCTTTCATCACAACATCCTTCACATGACTGTAAACACACAAGTCAATAACACAACATTAATAGTCTACTCATAGATTAAAGGTTAAAACTATAGTCTTGCAATTTCTTTAATTTCTAAAACTTTTAGGATCTTGTGTGAAAAAGGAAATATAAAAGTAGATACAGAATTGAACTATATATATTTTCATAATTAAAACACTTATTGAAGAAAAACAAATGATTTATGATTTAATTCACCAAATCACATTTGCATTACAGAAGAAACTATATAAAGCATCCATACAGCAGAGATCACACATATATCTGTTTAAGGAGGTCACAAACAAGGAAAGTGGATCAATGAAGACACCAACAAGGGGATCATCCTTAAACCATTTTCATCCATGCAGGGAGATACCTTTTGTATTTTCTATTGAAGTAAATTGATCAAATGTGATAAAATATCATTCTAAGTACTAGTCTTCATTTGATCTTGGAATATGACCATTGTAAAAGCAGGCCTGTAACACTGTAACATGCTGTGAGGAATCTAATACACAGGCAGTGCTGTAACAAAACAGTCACAGGTAAAGCTTTTATCAATGATGTACCTGACAATGTATCATTAGTTCCCAGGTAAGAATTCAAAAATAACGAAAGCATTTTAAAGCATGATTTCTGAATGCAAAACAAAGTATCAACCACAAGCCAGTTATTCAATGAAGAAACAAATAATATATATACACTTTGTTTTGAATTTTTGACACATGTTACTATGAAAACAGAATTTTTCAGGTTTACCATCCAAATGTTCATTCTGTATTTTTAAAGAGGATAGCCTGTACATTGTCAGACAACAGAACCTGATAGTTTAGATGGGGTTTTCCATCATTATAATAGTATACCCGAATACAGTGTATGTAATACAATTAAATAGTATACCCGAATACAGTGTATGTAATACAATTAAATAGTATACCCGAATACAGTGTATGTAATACAATTAAATAGTATACCCGAATACAGTGTATGTAGTATACAGGAGTACTGTGTATATAATTAATAGTATACATGAGTACAGTGTATATAATTAATCAAATGTATGTGCATAGATTTACAGTACAGTACAAATATCCAAAGACATTAGTAATACAAAAAATACAAATAAAGGTGCCATGCTAGGTTCTAAGATTGCCATACATGCATCATAAATATTGTTTACTAGTACGACATATGTAATGATTATATACCAGGAAACTTCTATGCTTACATCACAACAGATACACACATGCATTCAACAAAGCTGAATCATATTGTGGACTTTCTACAGTAATCTTGTATTGAACTTGTTTTATCTATCAATCTTAATCCATTAATAATTTTTAAGTAGTGTAACCTTATCCTCATCCCATCCTTCCTAATTGACAAGTTATTGTGTACTAAAAAGGCAAATGATTATTAACCAAAAACCAGCTGAACACAGCAGACTAATGCATGCAATCAGCAGACCTTCACCTCAGGTCCAACTTAAGTTATTACACATACCACCCAGCCATACAGAAATTGGCCATGATAGGTGGTCTGCCACACATTGTGAACAAAGACAGATAAACCTGTACATGTATATCAGCCACAATATATAGGTAGATTGGACAATGATTAACACCTTTTGATCCTGCATCTCAGTTCTCAGTTTGGTCAGTCCTTTGTATAAGTTTTGATCCCCCAGTGTTTAGAATACTAACACGACAATTAATTATTTAATTGGATGAAATCTATTATCTAGGCTATAGCTGGTATACATGTATATGATGACAATAAAATACCACTATATAACTCCCCCAACCCCCGACCCCCAACCCCCACCCAACCCCCTCCCATCTCTCCCAATGGTACTTCGTACCAGACGCCTGAGTTAACAATTAATTGTAGATCTAGACTACCTTAAATTAGCTTCTGGACAGTATTCTCCATAAACATCAAATAACTACAGTCTAATTACATGTTATTCTGTGTTTCTTATTTCTTAGCTTATTTAGAAAGGAGGGTTTTAACATTTAATAAGGATTTGTAAATAAGGCATATGTCACTTTCATATGGCAATACATGTACATGTATTGCTTTCCACAAATTCAGACTTCAAAATTTCAAAATCATGTAAACATTACTGTTTTTGTTAATTGAGTCACATGATATTTACAAATAGAGAACACTGCCAATTAACATGTGTTAATATCTAATGAGTTTATTATTATGTAGAGCAATTTGATGTCCTAATCCAAGGATACAAGAAACACAACACCTGGTGATTACATAGCTGGCAGTAAGATGGGACAAGCAGGCATGCTATGTTAAACAAGTACAATATAAACACAAGGAACGATGGGGGACCTGAATTTCTCCTCCAGCCACAGTGGATTCTGCCGCACCAACAACATGTGCACCAGGCGCTTCAAATTGCTGCAAATAATCAAGGGGCAAGTCAAGTATACTAAACCTATACAGTACTGGAATAGTACGTCAGAGAAAACAGGATCTTTCTTACCAGCAAATACATTTCTAAAATTATTTCAACAGTTTATTTCCTTAAAACACTGATTCAACATTCCACAGTAATACCTACAAATGAAAAACTATTATCAGGTTTTGTTAAAATTATTAGATCTACTTCTTTTCAGTTTCCACTGCAACCAATTTTATAGACAAAAACATTAGTCAATAGGACTAGGATTTGACATCTGGCTTAGCCTAAGTAGGTCCTCTTCTTAAGATGACAACAGGTAGTAAGAAATATAGACATATAATATACATTGATGATATAACGACATAAGGGGAATTAACTCCTTGTTATACCTGTAAATAAATTAGCTAATTCATTTCCACTAAGGACATATCACTACCACTAGATCAAATGTAGTCTATGGATTAAAGTTAATGTTTTTTAAGTTCAATTTCAATATTTACTATTTTTCTGTCAATAGGAAGATAAAACAAAGATATTACAAAGATATAACAAAATCTGCACACACTACAAGTGATGAAATCTGCTGTTACATATACCAGATCATTAATTATACAGCGAAAGTGTGGACCAAATTGATATAATTACTATCTACTTGTTGTAGAACCAGAATTACAATGAAAGACAACCAAAATGTACTATAAACTACATATACTATATACTCAACTGTCAGGTTTATTAAGAAATATTGGAAGACCAGCTGGCATATACATAATTCACAATTAATTATACACAGAGCTACAGCTTATTTACAATATAATCTATACATATACTCATTGTAGAGCTGAAGTCCTTCAATAAATGGACTTGTAATGTCCAACAACTTTCACAGGCCAATTTATCTATATCTAGCTACACTGTCTGACAATTTATATCAACCACCTCCTGAAGCCTATACTGTTTATATCTAAATTATACTGTCAGACAATTTGTATCTAGCCTACATTGTGAGACAATCTGTATCTAAATTATACTGTCAGACAATTTATATCTAAATTATACTGTCAAACAATTTGTATCTAGCCTACATTGTGAGACAATCTGTATCTAAATTATACTGTCAGACAATTTGTATCTAGCCTACATTGTGAGACAATCTGTATCTAAATTATACTGTCAGACAATTTATATCTAATTTATACTGTCAGACAATTTATATCTAAATTATACTGTCAGACAATTTGTATCTAGCCTACATTGTGAGACAATCTGTATCTAAATTATACTGTCAGACAATTTGTATCTAGCCTACATTGTGAGACAATCTGTATCTAAATTATACTGTCAGACAATTTATATCTAATTTATACTGTCAGACAATTTATATCTAAATTATACTGTCAGACAATTTATATCTAAATTATACTGTCAGACAATTTATATCTAAATTATACTGTCAGACAATTTGTATCTAAATTATACTGTCAGACAATTTATATCTAAATTATACTGTCAGACAATTTGTATCTAAATTATACTGTCAGACAATTTATATCTAAATTATACTGTCAGACAATTTATATCTAAATTATACTGTCAGACAATTTGTATCTAAATTATACTGTCAGACAATTTATATCTAAATTACACTGTCAGACAATTTGTATCTAAATTATACTGTCTACATTGTCTTTTTTTGTGTAGATTTATTTTTGTCTATTTTATGAATACTCTTCATCAATAAGTTCATATGTCAACAGACTTAAAATGAGTATGGCTTTGTTTCTTTGTTTACATTTATTCATGAAATGATATGTCCATGAAATAGCAATTTTTTGAAAAATAAACACAGAAATTCAGTCTTGCAAAAATACCTTATTTTACAGTTACTGTACGGGACTTATCCTGCAATAAGTTCAGTACGCCAACAAGTTAATTCTGAACTAAGTCACGGGGTGGACTTGTAGCAGGACCAGGAAATAATATTTGTTTTCATTGCTATTGAACAGCAATAGACATGGGTGGGCTTATTATCAGGCATAGGCTTATTGTCAGATAATTACAGTGGTAGACTTACAAATGTGCTGCTACAACATCAATATCACTTCTGTTTTAGAGGCAAATAATTTTTATCCAATACATATATCAAACAGAGCCAGCAAAGTCGGATACAAAGTGAATAAAATGGAATGTAAATGAGAATAAAGGAAGGAAGTACTTTGTCATAAATTATAGAAGTTTTATCTCCTTACTTCTCAATGTCTCACAAACTATTTCCTAAAAATTATGTATCCATGATCTGTACAGTACATCATACCATAGAGTGGATAAATTTTCAGAGACTTTCCATGATTTCGACTTAAAAGATCAGAATTTTTTGCCAAAATGCCTTTTGTTAATGATTTGCCTTTATTAATTCTGTGTCTAATGTAATTACCACGAATCATAACTTCAACAATGGAATTACTCAAATATAAGCCCTTAAAAAGTATCCACCATATGCTTTGATATGTACATAAGATTTCCTTATGTTCTACTATACCGTGATACACATATTTATAAACATGTCTGTTTCTCTATCAGAAATAAACAATCCAACAATCCCATCAAAAAAACCATTTCTAAATAAAGTCATTACCATTAAAGAAAGGTGATAAACCAGACCAAAATGGGAGATATATTTATAATACACAAAAATACATTGAAAGCGATTCTATAAGGAATGATAAGCATTAACCATCTGACAATGAGAAATGAATATGACATTATGAAAAAGAAAGTGAAAATGAAATATAATGCAACAAAGGTTCCTGTCCTGGTGTCAAATCCTATCCAGTCATAACATACACCACCAAAACTCATATCCAACATTAAATTAAATAATCAAACATTTACATTGATGATTTTAGTCTACAAATAAGATGAATCAGTATATTGATGGAGTAGAAACCAATAGGTCTGATGAAAAATAAAAACAATCCTATTGGTAAGGTGTTAATTTCTTGGTTATGTTAGCAAATTTCTTCCCAACTTGCATAACATAATAATTTATACAAAAAACACTGAGTTGCATATAAACTGATAGTTTTTTTAAAAACAGTTATGTCTAGGACATCCTAAGCATTACCAAGGAGTGTGAAGGACAGAGCTGTTTGTGGTGTGACTACAATGTTATCACAGGATAGGAGTTGGACAGGAATATTTAGACCAATACATACGGGTAGGCAGCCATGGTTGCAAGCTTGATGTACACTTCACGATTCACTTTGTCAATGGCAGAAAAGCTCTGGGGTGGTGGAATCTTAAACTTGCTACAGAATTGGGCAGGTGTGAGCTCATAGTCTTGACGCACTGCTTGGTATTCCGTCTTGGCAGCCACTACCAGGGTGGGAATTCGGCTCTCTAGGAAGTGTTTCTGTCACAATAAAATAATTCTAGTGTTTCATTTCTTGAACTAGCTTATTCTTACTGGGTTTATGATTTTACAATCAACAGTTTTGGGGTTAAAACCCTTCAAATAGCTGATACTTCCTTCTTATTAAAAAAAAGTAAAAATTTTTTAATAAAGTCAGATGTGGCTGAATCTTTTTAACAATAAATGAAGATATGTAGCCAATTCATTATATATTAAATTCTTCACTTACCAGGTACATTCTAGCACAGAATTCAAAGCTACGAGGATTGGTAGAATCATACACTAAACACGCCACATCACAATTCATCTCTGTAGGGTTCAACATGTCACATACAGATACGTCAACTTCGTGTAGCTACAAAGAAAAAGAACTATCAACTAAGGACAATGTCAAATTAAACACTTCAGAATTTAAAAGCAAATGATTTTGAGAACAAAGGTTAAGAGTCAGTAGAAATCTCCTAACCACAGAATCCAAGAAGGGACCATTGGTATGTCTCTTATTAAACATTACTACTGAAGTGAATACCACAATATCTCCAATAATTTTTCCTTCCATTTAAATCTGTATGTCTATGTTAATAAAAAAATATTCTTTTTCCTGTACACTGTACACATACAATCTTTTCTAAACCTTTGTGTTTAACTTTATACTCTAATACAGGTAAAACACTGGAGACAAACTATTAAATCATTTGTCATGATATACAGGTATAACACTGCTGACAAACCGTTAAATCACCTGTCGTGGTATACAGGTATAACACTGCTGACAAACTATTAAATCACCTGTCGTGGTATACCGGTATAACACTGCTGACAAACTATTAAATCACCTGTCGTGGTATACAGGTATAACACTGCTGACAAACTGTTAAATCACCTGTCGTGGTATACAGGTATAACAGTGCTGACAAACTGTTAAATCACCTGTCGTGGTATACAGGTATAATAACATTGCTGACAAACTGTTAAATCACCTGTCGTGGTATACAGGTATAACACTGCTGACAAACTGTTAAATCACCTGTCGTGGTATACAGGTATAACACTGCTGACAAACTGTTAAATCACCTGTTGTGATATACAGGTGTTATACTGTAGATAAATGAATCACCTGTAATGATGTAGATGTTACTTACCAATAAATATTTTTCTTGTCCGTAAACTTGAACTGTATTAATAGTGAAACTGGACAAGTGCTCCTTATTTAGAGTTGCTATATATCTAAGATTTCTGCCTAAATGTCCTTGTAAGAATGTACTCTGAAATCAGAAAAAATCACCTCTATTTAAATGTATGTTCACTTTTTACATCTTGAAATTAAAATTTCACTGCTGAACTTCTAAAGAGTGTTTCTGCAATATTTCAACATGATCTGTATTGTGAATTGAAACTCAAAATATTTGAGCCTCCAATCTTAACTGTGCATTAAAGCAATAAATAGCATTAAGCCTTCAATTTATGATAGATAAAATGCTAACTTTGCCCATTTTACCTTGCCCACACAATCTGACAACAGATACAATACTAACCTTGCCCACACAATCTGACAACAGATACAATACTAACCTTGCCCACACAATCTGACAACAGATACAATATTTACCTTGCCCACACTCTGATGACAGATCCAATACTTACCTTGCCCACACTCTGATGACAGATACAATACTTATCTTGCCCACACTCTGATGACAGATACAATACTTACCTTGCCCACACAATCTGACAACAGATAAATTACTTACCTTGCCCACACTCTGATGACAGATACAATACTTACCTTGCCCACACAATCTGACAACAGATACAATACTAACCTTGCCCACACAATCTGATAACAGATACAATATTTACCTTGCCCACACTCTGATGACAGATCCAATACTTACCTTGCCCACACAATCTGACAACAGATACAATACTAACCTTGCCCACACAATCTGACAACAGATACAATATTTACCTTGCCCACACAATCTGACAACAGATACAATATTTACCTTGCCCACACTCTGATGACAGATACAATACTTACCTTGCCCACACTCTGATGACAGATACAATACTTATCTTGCCACACTCTGATGACAGATACAATACTTACCTTGCCCACACTCTGATGACAGATACAATACTTATCTTGCCCACACTCTGATGACAGATACAATACTTACCTTGCCCACACAATCTGACAACAGATAAATTACTTACCTTGCCCACACTCTGATGATAGATACAATATTTACCTTGCCCACACAATCTGACAACAGATACAATATTTACCTTGCCCACACTCTGATGACAGATCCAATACTAACCTTGCCCACACAATCTGACAACAGATACAATACTTACCTTGCCCACACAATCTGACAACAGATACAATATTTACCTTTCCCACACTCTGATGACAGATCCAATACTTACCTTGCCCACACAATCTGACAACAGATACAATACTAACCTTGCCCACACAATCTGACAACAAATACAATATTTACCTTGCCCACACTCTGATGACAGATCCAATACTTACCTTGCCCACACAATCTGACAACAGATACAATACTAACCTTGCCCACACAATCTGACAACAGATACAATATTTACCTTGCCCACACAATCTGACAACAGATACAATATTTACCTTGCCCTCACTCTGATGACAGATACAATACTTACCTTGCCCACACTCTGATGACAGATACAATACTTATCTTGCCACACTCTGATGACTGATACAATACTTACCTTGCCCACACTCTGATGACAGATACAATACTTATCTTGCCCACACTCTGATGACAGATACAATACTTACCTTGCCCACACAATCTGACAACAGATAAATTACTTACCTTGCCCACACTCTGATGACAGATACAATACTTACCTTGCCCACACAATCTGACAACAGATACAATATTTACCTTGCCCACACTCTGATGACAGATCCAATACTAACCTTGCCCACACAATCTGACAACAGATACAATATTTACCTTGCCCACACTCTGATGACCAATACACACCCACACAATCTGACAACAGATACAATATTTACCTTGCCCACACTCTGATGACAGATCCAATACTTACCTTGCCCACACAATCTGACAACAGATACAATATTTACCTTGCCCACACAATCTGACAACAGATACAATATTTACCTTGCCCACACTCTGATGACAGATACAATACTTACCTTGCCCACACTCTGATGACAGATACAATACTTACCTTGCCCACACAATCTGACAACAGATAAATTACTTACCTTGCCCACACAATCTGACACAATCTGACAACAGATACAATATTTACCTTGCCCACACTCTGATGACAGATACAATACTTACCTTGCCCACACTCTGATGACAGATACAATACTTACCTTGCCCACACAATCTGACAACAGATACAATATTTACCTTGCCCACACTCTGATGACAATCTGATGACAGATACAATACTTACTTACCTTGCCCACACACTCTGATCTGACAACAGATACAATATTTACCTTGCCCACACAATCTGACAACAGATAAAATATATTACCTTGCCCACACTCTGATGACAGATACAATACTTACCTTGCCCACACTCTGATGACAGATACAATACTTACCTTGCCCACACTCTGATGACAGATACAATACTTACCTTGCCCACACAATCTGACAACAGATAAATTACTTACCTTGCCCACACTCTGATGACAGATACAATACTTACCTTGCCCACACTCTGATGACAGATACAATACTTACCTTGCCCACACAATCTGACAACAGATAAATTACTTACCTTGCCCACACTCTGATGACAGATACAATACTTACCTTGCCCACACAATCTGACAACAGATACAATACTAACCTTGCCCACACAATCTGACAACAGATACAATACTTACCTTGCCCACACCCTTTGATCCTAGTACATAACATCTGAACACATTTCTGCTGGTTTGCTTTTTGTCTAAGTCTATTTTTTTGTCTCTGGTTACTGTAAAAACATAAATCAATAAATATCACAATATTCATGTAGGAAAAAATTGTTTGCTTATGTCATATTCATACTACGCAAATACAGTTCAACTTCCCCGCACGGATTCTTCTAAAAACATATCACTTCTGGAGAAAGATCAAAATGGTGATATATGCAATGCTATTCTCTTTATTAAGTAATAAAAAACTTTCGAATATGTTTTGGAATATTTTCTTCATGTTGTTAATGTCAACAGGTATAGAAGTTCTCAAACAACCAGAAGAAGATTAGTGTGATATTTCGATGACAGGGTCTGACTTAATTAACATCTGAAGACACGAAATCCCAACGGGACAAAAAATTCATTAGATCAAAACATTCTCAGTCTCAAATGAATAAATCTTGCAGATAATTCCACATGGCAAAATCATATCATTGATTGGGAAAATTAAAAAAATAGACATGCACAGTTGTTTCTTTTAGAAAAGTCAAATATTGCATACAGGTATCAGTTTCTTCCCTTTCCAAAAATATTTTTACTGTACAGAGATTTTCCTGTATTCATACATTTTCAGTGTAAATGCTGGAATGGTTAATGTTATGTACAAAATGGAATAGGTTCAATTATATGCAAACCCAGACAGATCAATTTATTTACTCTTACAAACCATACCCTCCCTAAACTGGTCAAATATTTATGTCCCATGCATGGTCGGTTTGAGTGAGCTTCACTGTATGTCATTCCATTTGAAATGTTTTGTAGTTTAATCTGTGATCAGTGTCACATCTACAATTTAGTGGTAGTATTTCTTAGAGAAAAAAAATCATGTTTCTCAAAAATCATAGATAAATTTCGGAGAAGTAGGTATTTACATTAAAAGTTTTCTAAAAAGCTAATAACATTATAATTAATTAATCAAATCTGAATTCTTACATCAAAGATTGTTTTTTTCATTAAATCTACATATTATACACTGCAAAGAATTTCTTTTAATTCAATCAATATATCTATTTACATTGAACCTCATAGCCTACCTTTTAATTCAATCAATATATCTATTTACACTGAACCCAATAGCCTACCTGTTATTGCAGAGATCTGACTCTCATGGTGATAATGGTAACCTAAATATGCTAAGTATTCCACCGTCCTAGGTACATCTAGTAGGGTAGTTAATCTGAAATAGATGTAAAAAAGATTGGAATACAAGTGAAACATGTATGTAATGATGGTATAAAGTATCTTTACATGCCCATAGCTGAGTGGTATCTATAAAGAACTAATTCTCAATATCAGTGGAAATATGACCTAAGAGATGCAAGATGGAAACATTTAGAAAGTTGATTTTAAATGAAGAGATTGTATATCCACTCTGTGACCAAAATATAGATCCAGTCAAGCCAAAATCAATTCGAACAAACTTTTGTTTCTACACAAAAGTTTTACTTCAATCAGAGTCTGGTGTTGAGAATTAACGAAGGATCCTAACTAGGTATTCACTGGGGCCTTATACCACATTTCAGAATCCCAGCCAGCTCTATCTTCCTGAGATAAATCAGCAAGGGAAAATGGCAAATTACAAAAAATTTACAAAAAATCTGATCTTTCACAAGGAATATAAAAGTCAAAATCAATAAGACTTATATCTCATCTGTAAGCTTGTGTCAGAAGGCTTTATTTACGCCTTTGCCACCTAAACTTACGCCCATTGAGCAAGGTAGCCCTGCAGGGTGATCCAGTTATTGTGGTTGGTACAAACAGTGTTGTTGACATCTGATCCCCATGGCATCACTGGACATGTACTAAAGAGATTCTGGAGCTCTGTGGGAGACAGGCAGCCATCTCGATCCTACAATCAATACAGATTACATTCTCAACAGTGCTCATCAATGCTATCAACCTTTCTTTAACACCAACTTAAACTTCTTTCAAGGTGGTTAAGAATTAAAGACTTTTATCTATTAACATCATGTTCACCCAGGTATTTAATTCATAGTTAAAACCTAACAATAAAAGAATCATAATAATTGAAAATCAATATTCTCAGCAAGCTTCTCAATAGTGTATAAGGTAAAGGTTGGCCACACTTACATCATCATACTTATCAAATATCATTTTGAGGAACTGTATTCCTTGTGTGGACAGTTCTGTTGTTGAGCCCAATGATGCCTGTACCCTGTAATACAACAGCATGTCACCATGAATTACGTGAAAATCAACATTAAACCTACAAAACAGTCTAATCTCTGAAATCTAAATAGAGTTCAATAGGGACATTTACCTTCCAAATCAAATTATTATAGAAAACTCTTAAATCATCCATATATCCATATAAACTTGAGTTGTGAACAGGTTGAATTTTTACTTGCTCTATGAAAACAAGACAATATTGCAAAGTTATCAAGCAATGTGCTCATATGACTTAAGTTATTATGCAGGAAATCAGCATTTCTTTAACATGTGAGACACTGAAGGCACTTCTGTCAATAAGCAGCAACTACCATCAATTCACAATATCAAGTAAAACTATCAGCACAACCGAACGACAAGTAAAGTTATCTGGACAACTTACTACAGGTAAAAGTACATGTATCTGAAAGCCAAATTCACCCTAAATCTGAAATAATTAAATCTTTGAGCAAGATATTTCTATGAAACACAGTTTTATGAATGTGCTATGTTTTACCTTGGTGAGAGGAACTCTTTGGAGAGCTGGACACCATCATCATACCCAAAGGACCTGAGAACAGTCCATGTTGTCTCATGACGACCTCGCTGTATAAAAAGTGTGTGGAGGAAGAGGAACCCTGGCAGACAAGAAATTCATTGTAAATAGTTATTATTTCACCAGTTACCTCAGTAACTGTCATCCTATTTCAAGGCCGCTTTTTATTTTCCTTTTTTTTTGTTTTTTTGTTTTTCTGAACTCCTTTGAATAGAGTCAAACTTCTATGAATCAAATTTTGATGATTCAAATGTTTTGCCAAGTCCTAATTTTAATTAATATGACTACCAACATACCTCTTTATGAATCAAAGTTTTATTAATCAAACTCTTTGATGTATAAAAATTTTCCACAGACAGTTAGCTTTAACACAGTCATTGATACCTTGTGATTTTACCAAACATTTACCTGTACTGTACATGTATTTTCGGCCAATGGCAGAATTTCCTACATTTCAAAAGAGTGCTACCTGTTAAAGGCCTTACGATAGTGCCCTCTTATTCATTTGTGTTACAAGGTTAATTAATGACTGGACACAAATTAAAGTTTGACTGCATACTTACAAGCTATGACATTTAATCAAAAAGATAATTGGACTATGTGTGATGTTCACCACGCTATTGTGGTAAAAGCCTCTAGTGAGGTCTATTTTACAAAAAGGTGAAAACATACCGTGGAAATCCTAACATTTTTATGACTATTTTTTCATTCTCAAAGCATCACTTTTTAGTTTTAAGCATAAATGCATGAGAAACATGTTGATTCCACTATCAATCTTGTGTTCTCCTATTGTGTCAGACAAGCCGAACTCAGAACATTGGCAAATACACTTGTAATTTTTACAACTCAAGATATGTGATGTTTGTTCTGTTGTTTCTGGACAGCATACTTATGATATTAATTTGCTTTCTTTGATATTAATATGTGTCCATAATGTTTATGTATTTCTCTCTAAATATTTACTGTAACTTGTGACATCTCATTTAATGCTGTGTTTTCTTTCTTTTGCATTTCATCCACAGCATACATATTCTGTTACATGAAAGCATGTATACACATTTACCTACTGAGAAAAATGTAAATGTAAGCATGCATTGTCAATTACTTGTTAATTTCTATCAAATTTATCTTTTTTATTTCATGATTGAAAATAATTTTTTTTATAGATCAGAAACATCTATCTTCATTTAAACTTGTGTCTTGGTATTTTTTGCACTTATTCAGTAGAAATGTGGTGTCATCAACTACAGTCATGAACAGAAAACATCAATGTAATGTACCACAAATGATTCAATGTCTGGATTTATCAAAGCTTTTTTGCTAGTCCCTTTAACCCCTTAACTTTGAAACATCAAAGCTTGACTGAATATAAAATTTCATCAGGCAAGTGTTGTTACAGAATAATTGAGGTATAACTGTAGCTGTATTTACGATGTCATACATTCGTAACTTATGAAAAGTTTTTATACATCAAAAAAGGCTAAAACAAATCTGTCTAAATGGCAAAAGGGCCATTCAATTAAAACATCTTTCCCGCCTCATGGACACAGATTTTGTTTAAGGGGTACCGCTGATAGAATTTAATCTATACTTTTCTTAGAAGAAATATGCAGATAAAAAAACATGGATAAAAGCGACTAATTTTGAAGTCCGGTGATGAAGTAGAAGTTATATTAAAATAGCTCTATAGAAAATGATTTTGAGCTAGACTACTACACCAGTATTATACCTTTGAGTGTGATGCCATTGTCTATAATACCATCAGTAATGTTTCTTCTCACTATAGACTTCACATCCTCTAACGCTTGAGGTTGCAGAGGAGCATTAAAACATTTTCTCTGTAATTATACAAAAAATATCTCATTAAGACATTCCTAACAAATACAGTATAGATCAAAATGGAAATAATTTAAACATGAAGTGGAAAAATTGCCAAAATTTATACTAAATTTGAAACTCATCGTAATGATATCATACAAGTTAATAATATTCTTTATGATGTAATGGCTGTCAACCTGATTCCTATGCCAAGTAAACATAGGTCAGTGTTCCCAGTATATCACTGTCAGTACTTACTTGGAATAAATGTACTTCATCATCTTTGAGTATGGAGTCGTTGTCAAGATCACATATCTGAAATTAAGTGACACATATTGTACAAAAGACAATATAATATTAAATAAAAGAACAGGAAACTGAACATTTTTTATCAGAAATGACATATTAGTAACACTGCACATCACTATCTTCATCATCACAGACCTTTATTTTTTAAAGTTTTCTTATCTGTATTAACTGGTGAAAGGATAAAATGATATTTAGGGAGCAAATAGGTTAGCTTAAGAATAAATATGAAGTGAATTAATTTCTGTTAGATGACATCATACCTTAAAAATTCTTGTAAGAGCCTTTTTGCATTGTGGCGTCAACTGCAAGAGCAAAATTGTAATCATTAACATTTTCAGTTCATCCGTCTTTTCCTAACTTTAAATGTTTGAAGTCATAACATTATATAAAAGCAAGCTAACAATACAAAATATACTCAACATATTGTGAATACTACAGGCAGCTATGAGATATAATCAGGTTTGAACCTTCTTCTCATCCCGAGAAGATATTGCTCTGATCAGAATGCACTGTGATGCAACTGAACTTTGTATAATCTCAACAGTTTACCTTATTAAGGATTGAATCTTGCTTATGTCGATTTCATGGGATGATGAATTGAGTTGGTTTGCTTCACAGTTCATGTTGAATTTGAAAGACCAACTCAATTCATCATCCTATGAAATCGACATAAGCAAGATTCAATCCTTATATTTCAATTCACACTTCTTTTTTCTATAGCATGGGAACTGACGCAATTTGTCTTCTACTTTCATTTTCATTTCTCGTCATCAGATCGTTTGAAGCCATACAAGAAAATAGTCCATCATTTGAAGACAGATTATTGTGACAGGTTGAAATATATTTCAGCGTGGTTACTTAATATTCTATTAAACTTAAATAAGAACAAAATTTAATATATTTTTCGACAACTTTAATGAAAATTTAAATAATACTGTGCAACAAAGACAGTATGCATTTTTTCCCGTAGAATAATAACGTGTAGACATGGTGCGCTGGTTGGCAAATGAAGCGGTGTCGGCCATTATTTTTACAGGCACCGAAGCGGAGAACTGACAAATATCAGGCTTCAGTCGCTTCACATCTTTTGAAACGTAAACTTCAAGTTATTTTTTTTTTTTTTAATTTTATTAATAGTTTTCAATAGTTTTAAAATTTTTATTTTGATGTTTTTAAATCTCATACTTGTGGTATATTGCCAGTCTAGTAGAAGTTGGGGAGTTATCTGCCCTTACCTAATATTGTATTCATACGCACTGGTCAAATTCATCGGTAAATGAAGCAGATCACATTTAGTAGTTTCATTGAGTCTGATTTGGGTAGAAATTGAAATATTTGAATTGACTTAAGAGGGGTTATTATTGACTTAAAGGGGTTATTCTGTATATCACATGGAATGCAGTACACATATACCTCTTTTTCCTCTGGGTTATAAACGGCCGCAGTAGGATGAAGCACAGCCTTTTGTGCATAGTAAAACATCTCACTTATATTCTTTAATGTCCTTGCTGAACACTGTAAAAGAAAATACAAATAGTTCATTTTAGTATCATCAGTGCTTAGAATTGTTTTAAAAAATCAATTGATAAAAATTAAGAACACACAAGAACCATATGCTGCGGAGAATGCTTTCAAGCTATTCTAGTATTGACTAGTTTAAATCACTGAAAACCTAGAACACATTGAATTAAATATTTGTACCAATCATGCAACATTGATAATTTCAAATAACAACCCTCTGAACATCTTACCTCTACACAAGTCTCCACTTCTGCGAAGTCATTCATGATAGGCATCATCGTCTGTAACAATATAACCATTATCATGATAAAACCGCAATAATAAAAGTCAAAATAAATTGTAATTCATATTTATTTCAATGAAAATACAGTAGGAAAACCACAAATATTTCACACAATTTTTTTTCTCTCAGAATACTCAAAAAATGAAATAAAGAAATGTTGCAGTAGCAAAGCACTTCCGATGTAAAAATGGTGGTAATGTTCTAGGCAGATCTACTGGTGAATTAAGCTGTGGTCCTTTCTAAATGAGAATATTTAAGAATGCCGGATATTTAACATCTCTAGAATAGTTTGCCCAGATTTACCTATGTATGTTTACAGGATCTGGGCTCTGAAACCCACCTGCAGAAATGATGAATATCTTTTCATTCTTTATTGTGTTTCATGATGTTTTTTTACTTTAATTCATCAGTAACTAACTTAAAATTCATTCTTTGATTTCATATTAATTTTCTTACTTTGATATGTCTGTTACATACCTCCATAGTGCTGAAGTCTAACAAATCTGTCTTGTTTCCCACCAAAATGACCGGAGTCCGATGCTCCTCCCCCAAACATCCACGTAAGTATGGCAACCAAAATGTGGTGATCTGTAAATAATTATCTCATAAACCTGATCACAGATTCAACAAAAGTAAAAATTTACAACAGACTGAACACTACAGCTTCTATTTACTTTAAGATGTAAGAAGTCTTTGTCTTACATGACTAGTTATCAACAACAATCTGGAATTTTATCATCAAATAAAACTCTTATCTATGAACTACAACTGTGTAATTACAACAGGTAATTAGATCCTTTGACAGACAAATAAACTAATTGCACAGAATTTCAAAAACATGTTTGTGTTTGATGATAAATATCTTCAGATATTGAATTTTTCTTTGAAGGCAGAATTATAATGGATACTGTTACATAGAGATCAGACTTAATACATGTTGTCAATCTGTTACAGTGAATTAATTGCTTTATCTTGAATTTATTATCTTTTAGAAGACATCGCAATACATATACCGAGCAAAGTAAGTGCCCGTTATTCAAATATCCTAGCTTAAAATGATCACTTACCCGTTCAATGGAATCTTCATCATCAACCGAGTATACAATACACACAACATTGGCCTGGAATACAAAACCATTCTCATTAAGATTTAAATCTCTTTTACCTCATGGTTAGCACACATATATCAATATGCTGTACAACCCTGAAAAGATAATGGCTTACACTGAAATGAGTTGTCTTTTCGTTCTGCTTATTCATTATACAACATCATAAATCATAAATATTAGCAAAATTCTGACTAAAAAAATCAGTTAAAGTTCATATTAAATTGATTTTACTTCATTAATAACCACAATTTTTTTTCAAGCATACCTTATCAAGCTCCTCCTGAAGTCTATCTTCATCTTGTTCTTGTGCTGAAAAAACAGACCAATAAAACATTAAGGTATTTACAAAACATTTTCTTCTGGTAAGCAAGTATACATAAATGTACAAATAGTATATGACAACCAGAGAAAAGGACAGATTACAACACTGAAACTTCACACACATATTCCTTAACACAAAAATCTATTTACAAACTACAATTATGTTATCATTCAGTCAAATGTACATTAACACTTAGACACCATTGATCTCGTTGGTTGTGTTCATTGGAATTGATGTATACATGTATAGATGTGCGGGGCCTACAAATACATCAACACTAATCACATATTGTAAGGCAATACATTTTAATATGTAGGCATTAAGTTACATTGAAAGCAAGCACTGATCCTGACTTACAACTGTAGTCGACAATATGAGTTGGTACTTTCTCTGGAGTAACATCAGCAGGTATTGTTATCTCCTCTGCTTTTGATGGTACCTATGTAGATAAATATATGTCATTCATAATATTATCTGCATCACATATCTTGACATCCTTATGACAATCTTTGTGTACCAGTAAATTTGATCGTTTCTGTTCTATTCATTCTTTATTTGTTGTATTCAGTCATTTTAGAGATTCATGTGGTAAAAAAAAATGTGCCGGGATGAACCAGGACCAAGGATAAAAACAAATTTGAACACTCTGCCATTCAGATCTAATGTTAGTGGGCTAAGATTCAATCTACATGTCTCTTTTTTGTCTTTAATTGATTTTATTCAATCTGACATCAAATCAGCTTCAAGTAGATGTCAGCTATAGATATCATGTTATATCAGGTACAATTATGAAAAAATATGTAGAAATATCATCCTTACATTTGTTTAGTTGCTTGTTCCATTGCATTGTCATAATCATAAAAAACATACATGATGTTATCATTTGATGACAAAGTTCTAAATAACATAATTCAGAGAAACATGATCACAATTTAATTATGTGTTTGAAGACTTACTTCTTCAGGAAATTCTTCACTGACCAGGGACAATATCAAAGATGTCTTCCCAACACCAGCTGCAATCATAAGATATTCATAAAACATTTGTTTTTTCATTTTCTTATAGCTTTCCATCATTTACCAGTATAGTATGATCTCAAGCAATATGATTTGTTTATGTAATGAAGTAATAAACAAAACCAAAGACTAAAGTCAAAATTTCTTAATTTTCCTAGATTTCTCTTTAGCTTTAACTTCAAAGCATACATCTTCACTTTAACAACAGATACATTCAAATAAATTTTGCAGTTGTAGCATTTGACCATTACATGGAATAAATTGTAGGTACCGTCTATTAGTGAATTAACCTGAACAATCTGTGTGTGTGTGGTTTTTTTTAAATGGAGTGAAATGCAGGTCCTATAATCTCTAGTTATGTTTTCTGACTAAATAACATTAAAACAATGTTCTTGTCATGGTAGGCGACAATAAATTTAAATTAGACATTAAAAAAATGTTCCATTGACACTCATGTACAAAATATGAATCATCATTTTCAGTTTTTCTGCCAAATTTTGCTTGAGTATCTGCCTGGTTAATTGTCTATAGAGGAGTATCATGTATTTCAAATATTAATGCAAAATTCTAGTTATTGTCGCACAATCTAGTCTGGGATAGGAATATGATATCAAAGAATAACTATAAGTTTAAGACAATGTTACTGCCTTTTGCTATTGTACCAGCCACAGAATTTTCTCATGTTGTTAACCCTACATGTTTTCGGTCCAGTCGAAATAGTCATAAGTAAGGCAGAATTCCAAATGAGGCAATGTGATTTTTTTTCAGATTTCTGTCCCCATCCCTATCAATTAACTCAGACAGGACCCCGAGGTTCAGAGACACTGAAACTACAACTTTCCTTTGTATCCCTTCAACTTATCAAATTCTTGTTACAAAACTTAACCCAGCTTAATTTAATTATGAAATAGACAGTTCACTACTTAGGTTTTTTTACAATATAATCAACATCTCTTCATAAAACTCATTGATTATATAACCCTAAATAGCGAATGAAGTGTAGGTTTATGTTGGCAAATTACACAGTCAAACTTACGATCTCCAACAAGGAGAATCCTGACGTCTCTCTTGCTGCTCATATTGCAGAAGGCCCAAGTCTTGGTTACTCCAAGAGAGCGTCTTCAACGTCTATAAATTTACTCTCTCATGATGATGAAAGCATGCCAGGAAAGGTCAAACTGAAGCTACATCACATGTCGAATTTTTCACATATTTAACTGCAAATGATATATCGAATACACTTCCTGCACAAATATACAACAAGCTCTTAAAATATTGTTTTTAAGCTCCAACTTAGTACTTATATGTCAAGAATTTCATCAATATTTTGCATATGCATGGTCGTTAAAAGACACCAAATGTCGCCATTTTCGGTACACCATTCGGAACTTTCTTCACTTATCCTGTTTTATATTTCAAAATAGAAACCTTCCGATTAACGAGAATTTCCTGTTTGCGTGCGCACTTGCGGATACAGAGCTGGCGTCTGCAGCAACGACACACGGGTGTGATAATTTTTTGTGGCACATCTAGCCTAATGGTAAGTAGAAATTTTCTTTTTTTAAGACATAACTTTTACACGTTGCTAATGAGATAGAAAGGCCAAAGAACTGTTTATATGTAAGCGTTATTTCACCATAATCTTACTTGGCCTGAAAAATACGCCCGAGAGTCATTTTGTGCACTGTCAGTGTCACCTGGGAGTACAAATCAATGATTTGGCTCATATATACATCTCATAATTTTGAAGCACTCGCTTAAAATCAATATTTAGTCTAGTATGTGATTGAATTGTTTGCTTGTTAAATTGCATCTTATGACTATTTCTTAATCATTTAACGTGTTTAATCCGGACGTTTGATTGAATCTCCAGCATTAAGCTGTCTACCGTAACATAAGTTACATCTATCATATTTCTCTACTTTACGCGTATCACATACTTTTGAAAATGGACCTTGGACTTTTTAGAATCATTCAGTTACTAGGTGTACATACAGCTATGAACATTTGGTCAATCCAAACAGATTAATGAAATATATATTGTTAAATCCATTCAGATTAATACAAAATTATACTTGAGTGTGGGTTGAGACATATGATTATGAATTAATGAATATCAAAATCATCACATTGGTGTTTATGGGGCATATCTGTGAGCCTTACAAATTTTCATAAGACAGGATAAATAGTCTTGGTGCAATTGTCTTTTGAAAATGTGTAGTGAAACACTGTTGCTCTTTAACAACACACATGCCAATTAACATACTGTTACCAAACTGATATTTAGTACAATGTTGGGTCCACAAGTTGTGTCAGCTGGCACAAGCATGATGTGATATAAATACCTGAAAGACATCACACTGAATCAATGCCAATTAAGAGGCATGTACATGTATAATTCGGTGGTATCAATTGCTTATGGTGGTCATTTACAACCGATTTAATCATATGTTTTGAATTGTAAGTATAGAAAAAATAGAAATTTAGGGTTCAAGGCATCAACAGACAGATATAAATCATTGTATTTATTGAAAAAAAATTATATTCAAACTACCCGCCTTTTCAAACTGCATGGAGGTTTACTGTCATACATGTTTCTGGAATAAATCTACAAGTGTAGTAAAAAATATGTTAACAAGAGTTTAATCACATAAAGTTACCAATGTGGAGGAAGGATAGCTACATCTGCTTCTTCTGACAACGTCAAATATTACAATTAATCTTTAAAAGAAAGACAACATTATAGTATTTGATGCCCTCTACATAGACCAAAGTATCAATATAGTTTAACCATTCTTACTTCATTGTCACATATAAAATATATTCACATGAGTATGTAGCCATGAAACATTTTAAAGAGTCAATTGAATGCATGAGTTGTAAAAGTGTCATGTATTTTATATTGTTTAATCAGGACAAACTTACTTCTATTTGATATGGTAAAAAAATATTAGTTGTCAATAAATGTGCATATCATTATCATATATTATATAATCTGTGAATATAATTCCAATTGCCTTGAGATTGTCATTATCATTTCAGAGCCAACACTTTTAGAATGATATACTTACTAAATGTTTATTTCTACTTTAAAACATTCTCTGGAATCGAGGTATGTACACTGTACTTTGAAAGATCATAATGTATATTTTCCAGAAAAAATATTATAATAACAAGTATATTATAATACCTATTTAGGTTGTGAGAACCAGAAGTTGGACTATCACAACAGTGAAACATATTAGTAAATAAAGAAGAGATGAAAAACAGTATAGTAATGTTATAAGATTATCACATCTTGTAATCATTGAAATCAACATGAATTATTACTTTAATAGATGCTGATTGCTGCATATCTAATTGTTGTAAGCACATTCATATCACTGCAAAATGGTATTACTGTATATATATATATATATATATACATGACAAAATTGTTTTGCTGATTGTTTTCATACCTTTTACAGTCATCTTTAGACTACTTTCTTTCAATGTCCTGGTGCCATATCTTAACATAAAACCATAAGGGGGGGGGATAACAGTATCATAATTTAGGGTGTAATTACACTGTTTTTATGGATGCTTAGTATCAATATGGAAAGAACATGAAATCCCAGTCTAAATGTATTTATGGACATGTCCTCTTGCCTAATCCATTATATAATGCTCTGGTACTTATTAACTGCCATTTTGCAGTAGGACTATATGGAGAATGTTCCTTTATGACCCATATGTCTAGATGTCCTCAGAGTGGAATTTTTTGTGTACATCCTTGCAGTTTGACTACCTGAACTCTCTCTCCCTTTCTCTATAAAATACAATGTATAGATATGTATGTAAAAGAAATCACAAGCAACAGATATAAGTTTGGGTACAGTATAAATGACAGCTTAAAATTCTATGAGATAAGTATTATCTTTTTTTTTTTTCTATTTTTCTTTCTTATTTCGATTGAAGAATTCTTTCAGAGGCATCATCTTTGGAAATACATATCATTACCAGTAAAACCAAACTGATAATTACAAATATAGATAATATCATTGTGTGAGTTCAGTGAATACTGGGAATTTAGATACATCTTACTTCATAGAGAATTCACAATACCTGTAAATTCCAACTTTCTCCTGACTTGCTAAAAATATTGTTATTGTATAGTAAAGCAGACAGATAATTCAATTAAATTTATCTAAAATATTGATTAAACAAACATTAATTAATTAAAATTTCCTTTATGTCTAAAATGTTGTTCACACACTATGAGGATTTTGAAAAGTTGGCAGGTATGGTATACATTTAAAAAGAAAAACTGTTGTCAGCATTTATACATGCAGACATACCTGATATATCAGACAAATGGTAATGATATATCTGATGCAGTGCCTGTAAGAACTGTAGAACTTTAAAGCTTGCATATTATGTTGTTTTTTGTTAGGAATAGCTAGGTTTTAAATTACATGTTCATTTATAATGCAATGTAGTCAATATGTAATGTGGAAGGTGGCTAATTCTTGTTATAAGTATTTGTAGTATACTATAGTAGTATACAGAATATCCATATAAATACTGGTGTAATATTTCAATTTCCAGATATTCAGAAAAGTGATGTTTACTTCAATTTCAAACATAAATATCAGATCAGACATCGGCAGATTGATCCTATTATCTATAAAACATTAAAAATCATACAGAGACTGTTTGACATTCCTCATGCCTTATTACCTTCATTACAAACTACTGAGAATTTTACCTTTCCAAAATTTTAACAAGCAGGTCATTGACAATGATCACATCAAATTCCTTGCTTTTAACAAACTCTTGATATGACTAATTGTTTTATCTTTTCAAATGATAGAACATAAAATAAATATTTCTAATTCTCACTTCTGTATAGATTATGTTGTCTTTGATGTACCTTATCATTCCAGCGTCATATCTAAACACTATTGATCATTTTGCTGCCTGTTTGGTTGGTCTTTTGATAGTATGGTACATTTGGATCCAGTCAATATTATTCATAATTTGATACTGATAGGAAAATCAGTATAATCAAAGAAGACATAAAAAGCTGATTATTTCTGTGTGTCTAGAGCTTTAACAGGAGGAATTTTGCTGGGGATGGGCTGATGGAAATAAGTAGTCAAAAAGGTTCTGAATATCCATCTTTGATTTTGTTTTTTGTTTTGGTTGCAGTCGATTCAATTGAGAAAAAAATACAGATAATCAGAATCCTGTGAAATAGCAGCTAAGCTACTAAGTTGTTTTTGTAAGGTGCATATTAGTTGTCAAATTAAAGTACATAGATTTAGGTAGCCAACCCTCTCTCATAGTTGGTGTTCTCTTGTATTGTAACTTGTAATGATTTTGTGTAATCAAATATTGTTTAAACTACTGCCAGTAAGGTAAATAAATGTTCCCTATGCATGCAACTTACAAATTTAATGGAGATAAGGTATTGTAACAATAAATCTAAACCCTATTTTTGTAACAAAATAGAGTTTAGATATATTGTTAAAGGTATAGACTATTAAGGACATCTTGTGTATGTGCCTAGGTTAGATGAAATGTTATTTGCAAACAGCTTAAAATCCATTTATTATATTTGATTTGTTATACAAATAAATACTTTTGTATACGATGCACTTTACTGATATTTGTTTGAGGATAAATTGATTTTTTTTTTACCTTAATATCAACTTTGAATGAATAAATTCAAGATAATGTTATTTTATTTTTATCTCGCCCGACCTTGACCTGCCAAATATCAAACGTTAAATGTGTAAAAATCTAATTTTTAACCAACATTAATTCTGAGTAACCAAAAAGCCAACCTTCACAATATTGGAACTGTAGCATGTTGGTATGAAGGACTATATCTCTTCTTTAAAAAAAAACAAATTTTCTAAGGTCAAGATAATGGACCAGTATCATATCGAAGCGAAAGGCTTCAAAGTTTGTTTAAATGAATGACATTGGCCTATCTTTAGGGTCACAGATATAAAATGTATGACTTCTCACAATGTATTCTGAATAAACAGATATTCCAGGGTCATAATATAAAGCCAGTAGCATGATGAGATGACCAACTTTCAAGGTCACTAGTGTCAAATGTTTAAAGTATAAGACCCAGAGTTAAGCTATTGACATTAAATTAGCTTTAGATCGCATAAGTATATATTGGACCTGTGGATGATTTTTTTTAGATTTTTACCAAAGATGACATAAAATTAAGAAAAGTACATGCAAATCAGAATACACCTAGTAATTTTTACACATTAAAGTTATAGTTTCTGTATAAATTATTATTCTGTACAGAAAAAGTATCCTTCAACAATGGTAAATAGGACTTGGAGTGTATCTGTATATATGGTACAAGTGTTGACTGATTGAATTTGATGGGAGTCTAAGAGCAGATTAGTTGTCGGTAAACATGCTTACAGGTTCATACCTGTGCCGTCTGTCTGTGACCACAGGACCATCGACCGGTATAAACACAGACTTAAACTTATCCTCAACACAATCTGAAGGTTTTAAAAGGTCATG